GGCAGAGGGTGGCCAATTGGATGAAAAAACAAGACCCATATATATGCTGCATACAAGAGACACACTTCAGATCTAAAGACACTCACAAACTGAAAGTGAAGGGATGGAAAAAGATACTCCATGCAAATGGCAAAGAAAAGAAAGGTGGGGTAGCAACATTTCTATCAGATAAAATAGACTTTAAAACAAAAACTGTAACAAGAGACAAAGAAGGGCACTACATGATAAACGGAACAATCCAACAAGAGGATATAACACTTGTAAATATCTATGCATCCAACATATGAGCACCTAAATATATAAAGCAATTATTAACAGACATAAAAGGAAAAATACACAGTAACACAATAATAGTAGGAAACTTTATTTGAGGAAGATTAGCCCTGAGCTAACATCTGCTGCTAATCCTCCTCTTTTTTTTTTTTTTGCTAAGGAAGACTGTCCCTGAGCTAACATCCATGCCCATCTTCCTCTACTTTATATGTGGGATGCCTGCCACAGCATGGCTTGCCAAGTGGTGCCATGTCTGCACCGGGATCCAAACTGGCGAACTCTGGGCCGCCGAAGCAGAACATGCAAACTTAACAGCTGCACCACTGTGCTGGACCCAGTAGGGGACTTTAACACTCTACTTACACCAATGGATAGATCATCCAAACAGACCAATAAGGAAACATCGGCCTTAAATGGAAACACTAGACCAGATGGACTTAGTAGATATATATTAGATATAAATAGAACATTCCATCCCAAAACCGCAGAATACACATTCTTGTCAAATGTACATGGAACATTCTCCAGGATTGATCATATATTAGGCCACAAAACAAGTCTCAAAAAAATTAAGAAGATCGAAATAATACCAACCATCTTTTCTGACCACAAAGGTATGAAACTAGAAATCAACTACAGGAAGAAAATCAGAAAAGCCACAAAAATGTGGAGATTAGACAAAATGCTAATGAACAACGATTGGGTCAATAAAGAAATCAAAGGAGAAATCAAAAAATTCCTGTAGACAAATGAAAATGAAAACACGACAAGCCAAAATCTTTGGGATACAGTAAAAGCAGTTCTAAGAGGTAAGTTTATAGCAATTCAGGCCTACCCCAACAAGAAAAATCCCAAATAAACAATCTAACAGTGCACCTAACAGAACTGGAAAAAGAAGAACAAACAAAGCCCCAAATCAGCAGAAGGAAGGAAATAACAAAAACCAGAGCAGAAATAAACAAAATAGAGACTAAAAAAAAAAAAAAGAAAAAATCAATGAAACCAACAGCTGGTTCTTTGAAAAGATAAACAAAATTGACAAACCTTTAGCTAGACTCACCAAGAAAAAAAGAGACAAGGCTCAAATAAATAGAATCAGAAATGAAAGAGGAGAAATTACAATGGACACCTCAGAAATACAAAAGATTATAAGAGAATGCTATGAAAAGCTATACGCCAACAAATTGGATAATCTAGAAAAAACAGATAAATTCTTAGAATCATACAAGCTTCCAAAACTGAATGAAGAAGTAGTACAGAATTTGAATAGACCAATCACCAGTAAGGAGATCGAAACAGTAACCAAAAACCTCCTAAAAAATAAAAGTTCAGGACCAGATGGCTTTCCTGGTGAGTTCTACCAAACACTGAAAGAAGACTTAATACCTGTCCTTCTCAAACTCTTGCAAAAAACTGATGAGGAGGAGAAGCTTCCTGACTCATTCTATGAAGCCAACATTACCCTGATACCAAAACCTGACAAAGCCATCACAAAAAAAGAAAATTACAGGCCAATATCACTGATGAACATGAATGCGAAAATCCTCAACAAAACACTAGTAAATGGAACACAACAATACATGAAAAAGATGATACACCATGATCAAGTGAGATTTATTCCAGGGATGCAGGGATGGTTCAACATCCATAAATCAATGTCATACAGTGTATTAACAAAATCAAGAATAAAAATTACATGATCATCTCACTAGATGCAGAGAAAGCATTTGACAAGATACAGCATCCATTTATGGTAAAAACTCTGAATAAAATGGGTGTAGAGGAAAGTGCCTTGACATAATCAAGGCCATATATGACAAACCCACAGCTAATATCATTTTCAATGCAGGAAAACAAGAAAGCTATCCCTCTAAGAACAGGAACTAGACAAGGATGTCCACTTTCACCACTCTTATTTAAGAGTATTGGAAGTCTTAGCCACAGCAATCAGGAAAGAAAAAGAAATAAAAGTGATCCAAATTGGAAAGGAAGAAGTGAAACTGTCACTACTTGCAGATGACATGATTTTATATTTTTTAGAGACCCTAAAGAATCCAACAAAAAACTTTTAGAAATGATAAATGAATACAGTCAAGTTGCAGGATACAAAATCAACATACAAATATCGGTTGGGTTTTTATACACTAACAACAAAGTAGCAGAAAGAGAAATTAAGAATATAATCCCATTTACAATTGCAACAAAAAGAATAAAATACCTAGGAATAAACTTAACCAAAGAGGTGAAAGATCTGTACACCAAAAATTGTGAAAGAAATTAAAGAAAACACAAAAAAACTGGGAAGATGTTCTGTGCTCTTGGATTGGAAGAATTAACATGGTTAAAATGTCCATACTTCCTAAAGCAATCTACAGATTCAATGCAATCCCTATCAAAGTTCCAACAACATTTTTCACAGAAGTGGAACAAGGAATTCTAAAATTTATATGGAACAACAGAAGACCCCAAATAGCCAAAGGAATCCTGAGAAAAAAGAACGAAGCTGGAGGGTACCACGCTCCCTGATTTCAAAATATACAACAAAACTATAGTAACCAAAACAGCATGGTACTGGCACAAAAACAGATACACAGATCAAAGGAACAGAATCAAGAGCCCAGAAATAAATCCACACTTTTATGGACAGCTAATTTTCAACAAGGGAGCCAAGAACATACAATGGAGAAAGGAGTCTCTTCAATAAATGGTGTTGGGAAAACTGGACAGCCACATGCAAAAGAATGAAAGTAGATCATTATCTTACAAGATATACAAAAAATTAACTCAAAATGGATTAAAGACTTGAACATAAGACTTCAAATCACTAGACTTCTAGAAGAAAACATAGGCAGTACACTCTTCAACACTGGTCTTAGCAGCATATTTAAAAGTACCATGTCTGACTGGGCAAGGGAAACAATAGAAAAAAACAAAAAAAAATGGGACTACATCAAACTAAAAAGCTTCTGCACAGCAAAGGAAACTATAAACAAGACGAAAAGACAACCTAACAACTGGGAGAAGATATTTGCAATCCATATATCTGATAAGGGGTTAATACCCAAAATATATAAAGAATTCATACATCTCAACAAACAACAAAACTAACAACCCAATTAGAAAATGAGCAAAAGATCTGAACAGACATTTCTTCAAAGAAGATACACAGATGGCCAACAGGCACATGAAAGATGTTCAACATCATTAACTATCAGGGAAATGCAAATCAAAACTACAATGAGTGGGGCTGGCCAAGCCGAGTGGTTAAGTTCCCACACTCCACTTGGGTGGCCAAGGGTTTTGCAATTTTGGATCCTGGGCAGGGACATGGCACAACTTGTCAAGCCATGCTGAGGCGGCGTCCCACATAGCACAACCAGAAGGACCTACAACTAGAATATACAACTATGTACAGGGGGGTGGGGGGGGGCCTTCGGGGACAAGCAGCAGCAGAAAAATAAATAAAAAAAAATAAGATTGGCTACAGATGTTAGCTCAGGTCCCAATCTCAAAAAAATAAATAAAAATAAACTACAATGAGATATCACCTCACTCCCATCAGAATGGCTAAAATTAACAAGACAGGAAACAGTAAGTGTTGGAGAGGATGTGGAGAGAAGGGAACCCTCATACACCACTGGTGGGAGTGCAAACTGGTGCAGCCACTACAGAAAACATATGGAGAGTCCTCAAAAAATTAAGACTAGTCTACTATATGATCCAGCTATTCCACTGCTGGGTATTTTTCCATAGAACATGAAAACATGAATGCAGAAATATACATACACCCCTATGTTCACTGCAGCATTATTCACAACAGCCAAGACCTGGAAGCAACCTAGGTGCCCATGAAGGGACGAATGGATAAAGAACATGTGGTATATACACACAACGGAATACTACTCAGCCATAAGAAATGATGAAATCCGGCCATTTGTGACAAGATGGATGGACCTTGAGGGTATTATGCTAAGTGAACTAAGTCAGAGGGAGAAAGTCAAATACCATATGATCTCACTCATAAGTAGAAGATAAAAACCACATACAAACACATAGCAACGGAGATTGGATTGGTGGTTACCAGAGAGGAAGGCGGAGGGAAGAGGGTGAAAGGGGTGACTAGGCACATGTGCGTGGTGATGGACGGTAATTAGTCTTTGGGTGGTGAGCGTGATGTAATCTATACAGAAATCAAAATATACAACAATGCACACCTGAAATTTACATGCCGTTATAAACCAATGTCACCGCAAGGGAAAAAAATAATTAAACAGAACTTTTCAATGAATAAGTACCAGGGTACTGGGAGGCTCCAGTGTTTCCATATTTGGAATACTTCTCAAATGCATTATTTCAACAAATATTTACGCAACTTAAACCATCTGTTAACACCCAGCAAAGTGCCCAATGGCATCTCCCCCAATCCTGGGAAGTCAACCACTTTCCTTCTGAGCCAGACACAGGGGCACCAAGGTGTAAACCGTGCTGCGAAGGAGAAATTTAGAGAAAGAGAAGGTGGTGGTCTTCCCTGCACCAGGACCGGTCACATGTAGGCCTTCATGGCCCCGGGCAAGCACAACCTCTTCGACTGCTTACGAAATGGAATTCTCGAAAGTGAAGAAACAAACTCATCGCCGACAGACAGGGCTGTGGGGCCCGCAATCGCAGGCTCCCGGCCCACCCTCTTTGGGGGAAAGGCCGCCGGACGCCGGGCCGCCCGTACGCACCCTGCTCCTGGGGAATCCGCACCAGGCAGTCCACCATGCCTTTGTACCGCGCCTCGGGGCTGATCTGCTTGGACGACGCCTGCACCTGCAGCAGCAGCTTCACCCGCTCGATGGGCGCCACCGCCGTCTTGGACACGGCCGCCGCGACCCCGCCTGCCAGCAGGTCCTTCCCGAAGGACGTGGCGTCAAAGAGCCGCTTTTCTGCCTTCTTCTCCGGCTTCCTCCTCGGAGGTTCACGCTGCATGGTGGGATGACGGACGTAAAAATGAGCGGCAGCAGCTCAAAACGCGCGCGGGAAAGACGACCAAGGGAAGCTGAAAACCGCTTCAGTGCCGACCTGGCGGGAAAGCGGCGCTCAGGATGCCGGGAGACCACAGCGCCTGAGCCGAGGCCCCTGTGAGCTGCGCAGGCGTGTCCAACCGCCTCCCGCCACCTGGCGCCAGCCACGTGACTCCCGACACGTGGCTCTCCGGCGCGTGGTGCCGGCTTTCCTTGCTGGGTGGGGGTCGGGGGGTCGGGAGGCAGTGGGGTCTGAGCCGGGAAGATGCAGGAAGGGACCTGAGAGCTAGTTCTGTGTGAGGGTATTTAGCAACCAGAAATAAAATAGAGCAGGGGCTGGCCCTGTGGCCGAGTGGTTAAGTTCACACGCTCTGCTACTGGTGGCCCAGTGTTTCCTTGCTTTGAATCCTGGGCGCAGACATGGCACTGCTCATCAAATCACGCTGAGGCAGCGTCCCACATGCCACAACTAGAAGGACCCACAGCGAAGAATATACAACTATGTACTGGGGGGCTTTGGGAAAAGAAAAAAATAAAATCTTTAAAAAAAAGAAGAAATAGAGCAGTAAGCCAACAGTGTGGGATTAACTGAATTTAGTTTTAGCTCCCAGAGATCCCCTTTCATTTCGCCTTAGAAATGGCTTTGATTTCTGCTCCGTTAGTTTACCAGGGGTCCTTTGTCTTGTCACTTTCTCACTGTCTGGTTTTGCTGATTGCACCCCCATAGCATAATTCAACACGTTCCTCTTTCTCCTGTGTTTTATTTAAATTGGTAATTCTATCTAAAGCAGTGGTTCCGATCCAGACTGTAAATTCAAAGGAAATGGGGAGTGGTGTTTTGTTTTGTTTAACTAATGCTTGGGCTTAGGGAATTCTACTGTGCAAAGTTTAGGATCAATGACCTATTCTAGAACAGTGGTTCACAAACTTTTATTTTCTAAATGGACCCCTTTTCACTCTTAAAAATTATTTAAGACCTGTTTTTTGTTATATTTTACTGTTTCAGAAGTTGAAAGATAATTTAAATATATTCCTTTAAAATAATAACATGACAAATGACATTTTAAAGTAACTATTATTCAAAACAAAACAACAATGTATTGAGAATAGCCTTGTTTAATATTTTTGAAAATCTCTTTAATGTCTGGCTTTATAAAGACAGCTGGATTTACACGACTGCTTTTGCACTCTGTTGCAATATCACACACCATGTAGCACTGGAAAACTCCGCTATAGGCTAATGAGAGAATGAGACTGAAACAGGCAAATAATGTCTTAGTATTAAGGAAAGTTTGGACCTCACAGAGTCCCGGACAGGGTCTTGGTGATACCTGTGGCTCCCCCATACCACACTTTCAGAACTCATCTGGAGGCTTATCAGATTCAGGTTTGACTTCTTTGGGCAAGAATACTCAGTACATGTACATCTATCCTGCACATATTATCTGTCCCTATTTTCTTCCACCTCACCTTTTCAGTTCACATATCCTGGCGATCCCTCTTGTAGTAGTATATAATATATTCCTGATCCCATTTTTATAGCTTATTTGATGGTTTCTAATAAACGAGTCACCTAATAAAAAGTGACTTTTTTGAACTTTAAGTTCTAATTTTCTTCTTAATCAAGTGTTGTAACACTTTTAATACTACTTGTCACTAGTAAAAAAACAAATATTTAGACCAGAAGGATTCCAAAGCAGGTGTTAATATTTTGATTACCTCACATAAAACCAGTTGCCAAGTCCTACTGGTACCACGTTTGGTGCTACCTTCCTTTCCATAGCAGCTTATCTGACCCAACTGATTTTCCATCCTGAATCTCTCTCCATTGTACGTGCTGCTGCCAGATTAATATTTCTGAAGCGATGGCGTTAGTCATTATTCCTAGGCTTAAAAAGTTTTAAGTCTTATTGCATTGACTTCAGAATCCTTTGTGAAATCTATTGCAAATTCAAGAAATGATTGGCATTTTATCTGCAAAAATCTGAAAAATGAAAGGGTCAGTCTCCTTTAAGGAAATCTGAAGCATTAACAAGCACACAGGGAGAAATTTAAGGGGAGGATTACTTGAATCACACTGCAGGTAAGGCTGTCTTTTTAAGGTGCCAAGAGAGGGCAAAGGAACCATCTCTGGTCACAGGGAACATAGGTATCTCTGAAGACAGAAAAGCAAGTATTCTGTTGCTCCTCAAGCAATTTTCTCTTCCTTCCTTTCTTGCCTCCCTTCCTCTTCAACCCCTACATTTGACTTCACAGTTGACAATATAGCATATTCCTTTATGATATCCTCAAGGTTATTTTTGACATGCATTTACTGATAGAAGACAGCAAACGTGAAAGTACTTAGAAATGTAGCTTTTTACCTTATTAAGAGCTTTGAATCAGCTCTTTTCAATAACTGGGTGAAAAATCTTTATTTTAACTTGCTGCATTGCATTTTACTTACTTAGGGAACAAAAAAGTTCTACTGATTTACATGTTGATATTAAAAGTATGGAGTCTCAGGGCCTTTGTGCTGTTCACTCTGCTTTCCTTAGAAATCAGCCTGGTTCACCTCCTCACTTCAGCAACCGTTTCCCTCCCCACCCTCTCTCCCATGCTTCATATCCCCTTTTCTTGCTTTGATTTTTTTTTTTTCCCCTCTTAGCTTTTACCAACATATTTTACTTATTTGTCTTATTTGTGGTCTGCCTCTCTCACTGGGACATAAGCTCTGTGAGGGCAGGAATTTTTAGCTATTTGGTTCACTGCTGTATCCTGGCATCCAGAACAGTGCCTGGCAGAGTAGAAATTTAATAAATATTTGCTGGACAAGTGCAAGAAAAGGCAACACAACTGCAAACAAACTTCCAAACCATCTTTATTAAAAACTATCTATACAGTATAAAAATAGCTTCAACTATATAGAATATGGAAATAAAACTCTACAAAATTAAATTATTTTCACACAGTTTAGTGTACAGATTAAAGTTTTAGTAACATTTAATAATATATCTTAAAATACCCAAAGTATAAATCCTTGTTCTCAAAAGTGTTTAGTGCTGACTACTTTTTCTCAGCTTCTTTCTAACATTTGGTACAGAAGCAGGTATGATTTAGCTGACTCCTTGGTTTTCAACCAATGGATATTTGATAACAATAATAAATGGTGGTAGCAGTAGTAGCTGACACTTTTACAGCACATAACATGTGCCAGGCACTATTTAGAGGGAACTCACATAGACAACAAATAATTATTAAAGATATTATTTTTAAGAATGTTGAAAGCAGACAAACCTAGTAAATTGGTCTCATAGCTTTTCCTATTTGGATTAGAAACATAACAAAGCAGGCATGGCAAATTGACTGTCTTGCCAGTGAGAATCATCATCATGAGTCCCTTGGCACAAATAAGAAACTCTCCCTTGCTGAGTACACTTCTCTAACCTGACAAAACGAAACGAAAAAAAGAGAGAGCTAAAGAAAGGGGAGGGGGGAGTTTGAACCTAAAACATAATTTTGGGGGCTAAAAAATATATGATGGTGATAAGACAGTACTTGATATTTTTTAAAATCGTAGTTATAGAATTGTTTGCATTAACAGTCTTTGGTGAAAGGGAACATTTGCGGGATGCTAATAAAATCCACCTTAAGAATGTTTCTGGGGGCTGGCCCTGTGGCCGAGAGGTTAAGTTCATGGGCTCTGCTTCGGCAGCTCAGGGTTTCGCTGGTTCGAATCCTCGGCGCAGACATGGTACCGCTCATCAAGCCATGCTGAGGCAGCATCCTATATGCCACAACTAGGACCCACAACTAAAAAATATGCAACTACGTACCCGGGGGCTTTGGGGAGAAAAAGGAAAAAAAATAAAATCTTTAAAAAAAAAAAAAAGAAAGAATGTTTCTGTATTTGCTAAAGCATACCTCTGGGGTATCTGTACTCCTTTATTTAATAAAGTGGCAGATAGACACTTATTGTCCAATAATGAGACTCATCTACTTTCAGATGTGAATCTGAACATATTTGGAAAAACTGGCAGCTAAGTTTACTTACAATGCTTTACATCAATATCCATTCAGAGATGAAAACCAAGATAATGTTTGGTTTTATTTCTTAAGAATGCAGTGTCTTTGCAACATGGACATTATCGTGTACTCCACAATGTAGCAAATGATTTTCCCCTTATGAAGATTAGTAGTCTGCTACAAAAATAACTTTCTATTTCAGTTATTGAGCAGTGGTCTCATGATTCTTTGACACGAGGAAAGCAGTTCAACAGACCAAAATTTCATTAAATGAAACAAAAAGTCCCCTATGATAAAACCCGTCTTAGTTCAGTCTGTTTGAAAATCTAAGTTGATCAATAGCTGCATTTATTAATAATTCTCAGTATTAAAAACAGCTCATGGTGTTTTGGGGGACATATCAAAAAATTTAAGACATTTAATAAATACTTTTAAACAAAGTGCCTTAATACCCTGTATATACAGTCACGCATCGCTTAACGACGGGGATATGTTTAGACAAAAATTCATCATTAGACGATTTTGTCATTATGCAAACATCATAGAGTGTACTTACACAAACCTAGATGGTGTAGCCTATTACGGACCTAGGCTATATGGTACTAATCTTATGGGACTACCATTGTATATGTAGTTCATCATTGACCAAAACATTGTTATGCAGCGCCTGACTGTATGTACATAAGCAGTCCTAAGACAGTAGTAAAGTATCTACCATTTGACCAATATTGTGATCTTAAGGGGAGGCTATTTCAAGCATTTTTTACATTTCAAGAACCAAGGTTTCTTGCCCTACTTTGAATGCCAAAATTAAGGCCCACAAGTCACTAATGGGACTAATACAGTGGTTTGCATCTTAAACCCCTGGGTGAAAATCTCTTAACCAGACGCTAGAGGGATAACAGTGTTTCTAAGACCAAATGTTTCAAATGGTGCACCCACTGTGTTTTGCAGCTGGTTCTGACTAAGCTGCAGGGCTCATGTTTGACGCAGGGGAAATGCAGAGACTGGCTTGAGATGTGCTGGCATAATTTGTCTTCCAAAGCTTAAGTCCTGAAGAAAGAACTCAGTACTGTAAAGTTTTAGGGGCATCTGAGACTTCAGGACAATGCATTGGTAAATGTCAATCAAATATGTGGTATTTGTTATGTTCTTCTTTCCTCTCAATCCACCAAATTCTTACAGCCAAAGAAAATTCTCATCCCATTAGTTTTCTTTCTCTACTAAAGTTCAAGTAAATTATTGCTCATTAAAGCATCCCTTTTTGGGAAAACCAATACATAATGATCTATATTTGTAAGGCAAAAATTAGTATTTAACAAAAGAAGTCACTATAGGATTTCTTTAGCCAACTTTTTCAGTGTCTTTCACATGATTAGGTTTTAAAAAAATTTACATACAACTTTCCTGAAATCCATGAACCGTATAAAATGTGTGTGTATACCTGAATAAATTTTAACAAAAAGAGAAACAATGAAAGTTTGTGGACAGTTTAAAAATATATCCTACTCAAAACAGAGCTGACCTGAAAGAGTAAAGGAAATCAAATAAATAAAACAATAAGTTTAATTTTCATTCCTCCGCTCTTCCCTTACAGTGAGGTATCTATTAAAATACTTAAACTAAAGAAAAGTGTTTGCTCTAATAAAGAAGCAGAACTTGGACATTACGAATGTAGGTACTGACCAACAGGCAAGAGGAAAAAAATCCTGCACATTTTACTTAAGAGGGACTTTAGAAACTTCAATGCAATCATCTCATTTGTAGAGAACACTGAGCTCAGAGAGGTACAAAGACTTGCTCATGGTCACAGCACTAATTAGTTACAGAACTTGGTCATGTCCTCCCCATTTCATGATTCTTTCACCAGATATCAATATTGGTTTTGAGAAAGATATACAATGAATTGAGCATTTAACCAAGATAAATATGTCCTATATTAATTTTATATAAAGCACTTCACATTATTTCAAACTAGTCAATAAATTAATGTTATATACCAAAATGGAAACAAGTTAACAATCCCTTCTTCATATTTTGATCAAGTATCTTTTCAAAAGTCTCACAATACTACATAGGATTTAGTGCATCAAATCCAACAGCATATCATCTCAATATTTAACAATATTACATTCAATACTGAACAGGGAAAAGAAGCTAAACTTTATCTCTCTGTGTATGGATGTCAGCAATTCTACCATTGCTCAATGCTCCAGGCACAGTGTTGCCGTACATCAAGAAAACACAACTACAAGGTTAATCCAAAGAACAATTTAAAAGCCATTTCGATGGCAATTTCTGTTACTGAGTCGTGAAAACAGACGTAAAGTTCTTGAAGTTTGGGATGAAGAAAGAGTCTCCTGTAGAGGAAAAGAACACACTCATTTCAGAAATTCAAAACACAAAAAACAAAGGGAAAGAACTCCAACCTTTCCATTTATTTTATTTTTTTTGTTTCTGAAAGAATCAGTGATAAATCAAAACCACTAATCTAGTAGGGGAAATCCAGCTAGGTTTATTTTTAAATAAATAATATATGCCTTAGGTCAATTATTTTAATTTTTCCAGAGTGTAAAAAGTCTATTTTATTAATATGTATTACCATATCCTTCAGTTTTTAAATATTAAATTTAGTCATTATTATTACAATAAAGCTAATGGTGTTACCATAATTTTAAGTACAATAGTTATTAAACATTGCCATTTACTTTCTAAAGGTTAATTACTATTAAAACATTAGATATATGATAGTTCTTTTTATAGATAGTATTGAGTTGGGATTAACATTGAAACTTTATTTGGTTTTCTTAAAGAGTTAAAATTTTAATCTATTTAATCAAAACTAATGTATATAAATCAAACTATTTAAATCAGGGGTAGTTCTGCCTGACTTCTTTAAATTTCTCTATTTGACATAGATCTGCATCATCATAATTCAACCCCTCTTGATTCTATTCCAATTGTTGTGAATGTAGTTAAGTCTCCACTGCACACCTGTGTGTGTCCCTAACTGTTCTTCTTATCTCTCTATTCTCTCTTGTGTCTACACCATTCCACCTGCTGCTCCTAGCTTAGTCTTCCAATAACACAGCCCTGATCTCACTACATGGAGTTAAGCCTATGCTGATGCTTTCAAGTTTGGCTGGTTACACATCAGAATCACAAGGGAGCTTACTAAAAACACAGAGTCCCACTCCTATAAATTCTGGTTCAGGAGGTCTGGGGTAGGGCGCAGGCATCTCTGATTTTAACAAGTGACTCAGCGATTCTAAATCCCATGGACTAGCACATGGGAACTACTGCTTTGGATGTCTGTAAAGCATCTGTCATACAGCCTAGTACTACATGTTAGGTGTCCAGTACACTAGTCTCATCTCTGTGCCCCTTCCGCCATCAGTTCTTTACCCCAACTCAAAGAACCGTCAGTGACTCAATATTTCCCTCAAAATTCAATTCCTTAGTCAGGAATCGACGGCTCTCCTTGGTGGTCCTGACTTAGCTTTCCAGCTTGATCTTTCACTTTATCTTTGTGTATGCCATTCCTTTACCATCCTGGCAAACCAGTCTACTCACTGCTATGCCTTATGATTTCCCTTGTGTGGGTCTTTGTTCGTCTCATCCTTTTCCTAGAATGTTCTATTCAAATTCAATTCATTTTCTAAAGCAGCTCAAATGGAATCTCTAAGCCTTTCTTTGTAATCCTAGTTTAGATTTTTCCCTCTTCCTCAGAATTCCCATAGCATTTGGTTGTATCAACTAATTTATTACGTATATATACATCTATCTTTCTATAAAGATATCTATATCCATAGAATATATATCCATAAATATATAGACATTTGAGCATATTTCATATTTATTCTGCTACATGTATGACCATTAGATGCAATGACTGTAATTTTATCTTTGTGTTTGCTATATCACCCACCCACTACCACATCTTGCCAAGCATATCTCCATTTACTAAATTGTTACCTATTTATCAAGTGACTACGTGCCAGGTGCTGTTACAGGTACCAGTGGTAGACAAGACAGATACGATTCCTGAGCTCATAAAGCTGACATTCTAGTGAGGGGCAGAAAGACCATAAACAAGAAAATAAACAATAAAGGGGTGATATAACAGAGAACAACTAATGTGGGAAAGAGATCATGAATCCTTTCTTTGAGAAGATGACCTGTGAGCAGTGGTCTGAATATCAAAGAGCCAGACATGCAAAGGTTGAGAGGTAGAACACCCCACACAGAAGGAGTAGCAAGAACAAGATTCGATTGGGGCCAATGTGGCTGTGCACAGGGGATGGAGGAGGAGAGAGATAGAAGGCGGAAACAGAGAGGTGGGCACAGGCCAGGTCAGGCAGGGTCTTACAGTTGCTGGGGGTCAGCAGGGAGAGGAGAGGGGAAGAGAAGAGGGAAAGAAAGGAGGAGAGAGGGAAGAAAGGAGGAGAGAGGGAAGAAAGGAAGGAAGCAGGGATGGAAGGAAGGAAATAGCAATAAAATTGTAGCGTCATTATCCTTTGGTGTTTACTAACGTAATTTTGTAAGATAACTGAATAAGCTATTTTTTTTAATAGAAAAAAGATTTGGGAGGAATTCGAAGGAGATACTTAGCAAATAAAATAAAATTCTAAAATATATTAAAATATTATAGTTAGATTAATAATTCTATGCCTACATCTTAACGTTTATGTCCTTTACCACTTTTCTTTCATTTTTCTTACATTTTAATTCACTTTTGAATTCTTTTTTTTCCGCCTTACCCTACTACCCAGTAAGCCATAACTGGTGGTGCTTTTCTCTGATCAGTCCAGTTTTCAGGTGAGCACTCAAACAACACACCATGTTCTTTCACAGGGTGAAGAGAAGACACTGAATTAGTAGAACCTGATGGAGCTCCACCATTTCCTGCTTTCTTTTTCTGTAAATTAATAGGTATTATTAGTATTAACTGGTATTAACAGTGTTACTTTAAAATGTTTTCACATAGAGATTTGAATTGGCTGATCCTAATACTTAAGTGCCTGCCATGACATTCTTCTCCTTACCAGTAGCAAAATTTCTACTCTTCCTTATACTGGAAATGCCACCTCCTAAAAGAGACTTCATAAAGTGTCCCTTGACTCTCCCAGGGAACATTTTGTTCACAGCCCTATATTATTAGTATTTACATTACGTTATACTAGCAGTTCGTAAGTCTTTCTTCCCCAGAAGACATTATAAGCTTTTTTCCAGGACAGAAACATTTCATCTTTGTATTTTTTGAAAGCACCAGTGCCTGGTACACAGTAGATACTTAATGAATAGATTACTAATGAGGAGGTTACTAAATGAATAGATGATTTTTTAATATACTTAAAACACATATACCAAAGCAGTATTTGTCTCTTCCTCTGATGTACACTCTCAATTTCCCATTGATTAAATCATTAGCAAAACAATGATTCATTTGGAATATAAAGACTTTTTGTAAGGCTCAGGCCAAAACAGTGGAGTGATCCTAGATTCTTCTCTTTCTCTCGTAATCCTCATCTAATCTGTCAACAAATCCTTTTGGCTTACTTTCCAAAATATATCCAGCCTCCAAAAGCCACTATCATTCTTGCTTTGAGAATTTCCATAGCCTAACTGTCTCTGCCTCCACCCTTGCTACCCTACAGCGCCTGTTCTTCCCACAGTAGCCTGAGTGATCCTTCCAAAAACTAAAGACCATGTTCCTGCTCTGTTGAGAACAGACTGAGAACCTCCCATCCCCTTCATAACAAGGCCCAGAGTCCTGAAGTCTATCAGGCCCTGCTACCCAGGCCATCTCAACTCCCACCACTCTCCTCCCCATGCAGTCTGCTCCAGTGCTCTCAGCCACAGCTACTTCTGTGGCTTTGCACTTGCTGTTTCCTCTGTGGAAGCTCTGCCTCCAGATCTGCCGCATGGCTTGCTCCCTCACTTCATTCAGGTCTCTGTTCAGCTATTACTTGACATGATCAAAGGGATCTTTTAAAATAGTAACCCCCACTTCTCATCCTTACTTTGTTTTATTATTCCTCTTGAAACTTATCCTACCTGACATATTACACTACTTGCTGATTCATTAGTCTCCCCTGTTAGAAGATAGGCTTCATGAGGAAAGGCACTTTGTCTTGTTCACTGCCGTATCCACAGCACCTAGAATAGTGCCTACTGCATAGTAGGTACCTCAATATTTAAATAATATGGGAAAGGCTAATTTACATTAGTAAATATTACTGAGTAAGTTAATGAAACGTTCCTTTATAGAATCTGTTAAATAGGAAAGGAGAAGCATAAAACGCAAAGCACAAAGGGATACATGGTCAAACATAACATTATGCTGAATACCAATTTCTGACAGCTCAAAGAAGAAATCCTATAAGACACAGAATTTTACTGCTGAATGAGTCCTAAGAGATGATATCATTCAGCCCATTCATTTTATAGCTGACGATATGGGAAGAGTCGAGGCTCAATCTAGGATTCCTTATTCGCAGCCCAATGTTCCTCCACCTTTAACCCAAGTTCTGCACAAATTTAGCATCCTTACCATGTGTTCCTATATACATTACAATCATCCTCAGAGAGGTTTTTCTTAGCTGTATAATGTTTGACCAGTCACAAGTAAACTTCTGCATGTTTACCCTTTTCAAGAAATCAACATGTATCTTTCCTTTCCATTAAAACAATCTAATTGATATTTTAATTGTATGCAACATGTACAATATTTAAATGAAACTTCATTCTGGATTGAAAAGCAAGCAAGCAACCAACCAATCAAGTGGCTAAAACATCTTCAACAGTATTGTGTTTACTGCTGTACTTTACCTCATTATGTTCCAAAATACCTTACACTGCTAGTTGAATACTTAAAGAATGATCAGAGTTACCAACTGGCAGATGTTACTGTCCAAATAATGGTTGAGTCACAGATATCAAATAGGAGAGGTGAATTTACATTACAAATTACTATATTCTACTTTGCTATAGAAAAACACAGGTCCACCACTTCCTGAAACACTAATCCAGGACATCAAACTCAGTATTGTGAAACAATGCTTTGAAGTTAAGTACCTTGAGTATAATCCTTTTGGCACTCAAATTAGATTGGGTGACTATTAAAAAAAAATTTAAATGAAAATAGTCATTGCTAGACACATTGATTAAAAAACTTTTAGGGAGAATATTTAGAGATCTGGAAATGAAATTGGCAGAAAACTATATTTATAGCAGTGCCCTACCTCTTCCACCAATGTCTGCTGGAAAATTGCACGAATGGAGAGACAACAGCGATGGAAATTCTTTATGAGCTGAGGGTGGATAGAGCCACTTAGCTGTGCCACCTCTTCATGGGTAGGAGTAACAAAGATCCCTTGCACTGTTTCTAAGGCAACATAGTGGAAAAGTGTGTTCTCAGGACCAGATGTCAATCTTGAAAAGAAAAAAGATATTTAAGTAAACTTAAAAACATTGCTTCATTTTGAATTTTGTAGACTCCTAATATGCTTTTATCTACAACATAATACTAGAAGTTCAATTAGGGAACGGAAACTAGGCCAAACATTTAATTCCCTCTTCCTCTTCCCCTTTGACTGAAGTACAGGCTAGAGTTACTATCAATTTCCTTGTGGAGGCAAGTACTATTTGTTATGCAGGGATAAACAAACACCAATTCATTTGCAAGTAACTTAATCATCCCTTTGCTAACCAACCCAAATTGGCTAAAACCTTGTTTTTCCACGGTTGGTAATGAATAACTCAGTCCTGTCTGGCTCAGATATCTACAAACCATAAGCAAGGTATCAGTCTAGGGTAGACCACATACAAAAACATCTTCCAACAGACTAAACACATTTAAGTTAGTAGCATTAAAGTCTTTTACCATGATAGTCAAACTGATGATCCTGAAGAAAAACAAAATGGTTATCACCAACTGCAAAGCTGGGTTAATATTCTAGAATCCCACAGCAATTACTAGTAGCATTCTACTGCTTCTCATCATTACAGTCTTCCTTCTCTTCTGTGTTCTCTTACTATATTTTCATTTCTCCATTCTTCTTCTTCCCCTATTTAGGTCCCAGACAGGCCAGCAGAACCTGTAAGTACTGCTTATTTCTACCAGTAGTAAGAAGAGCTAAAGAACAGCAACAATAAAATAACAATAATAGTTATCATATATAGAATGTTCTCTATATACCAGGGTAGGTGCTTTACAACATCTTAGTCTTAATTCTCATAAGGACGCTGCAAGATATTAAATATTACTCTCTTCATTTTAACCATGAGGAAATCAATGTTCAGAGGACTTGGATTAATTGGCTTGAGGTCACACGGCCAAGGGGCAGAGCTTAGCTGACTCTGAAGCTTGCTCCACTATACCTTGCTTTTTCCTCTCCATTGCTGACTTCTGATGGGTAATCTTTAAATATACGGACACCAATTCTCCATCTGCATCTCAAACACTCAGGCTGCTCCATTCTAATTCTATTGTCTATACTACAAAGTTCCTTCAGTTGACTTTTTTCCAGCTTTAAGTACAGAGGCAAAGAAAAGGCATCTTCCAGCCTTTAGCCTAGATACTTACTCAATCAGCTGTGCTAGTTAAATTCCTGTTAAACTGTAAATTAGGCAGCATGATCAGAATAACTTCTTCTTATCGCTGACTTATGGCCTTGGTTTTCTTTTGAGATCAGGGTAGGCATGGAAGGAGATCATCTACAAATTTTTCTCATACATTTCCAAAAGGTGGCTGGCTCATTAACAACTGGTGGCTTATATTTTTTTAATTGATAAAAACTCAATCAAGATGAAAGAAATTATGATTATTCAAAAAGAAAAATAATTTAAAACATACGTTTTAATCCAGAGGTCTTAAAATTCAAGAAAAGGTACAGAATAGAAATGACTCTTTTAAAAAAGAGTTATTAATAAGGTTTTTTTTCCGGGAGGTTTAGAATTAATATTTTTGTTGTCATTTTTAATTTTCTCTCCAAAAAGCCTCCAAAGAACAATGAGCAAGTTTAGCTCTTGAAAACCATAAACTCACTCAATGTATTTTAACCCACTTAGTGTAAAAAATGAAAGTTTAAAAATCATCAAACAAGGAATTACCCAATGGGAAGATAAAATATTTGTAAAAAAAGCAGACATTAGCTTTGTTCTTCAGAAAGGTCACTCCTGCAGTAGAGAATGGATTCGGGGTAGGCTGGGAGTCGAGAGTCTGCTGCAGTAAATCAGGTGAGAAAATGGGAGCCTGAACTAGGGTAGCACCATTAGGGATTGAATGGAATCAAGCATTATTAGAATGCAGAATGGATAGGACTTGGTTACTGAATAAAATGTTTTGTGTACATTATTAGTTTTGATATGTTATATATTTTTATTTTACAAAAATGCGTATATACAAATTAGGATAATATATTACACAGTTTTATATCACACTTTTTAAATTAACTACATAGTATGAACATCTTTCCATGTCAATAAAGAGACTAATGATCCAGCTATTCCACTTCTGGGTATTTATCCAAAGAACAGGAAAACACTAATTCAAAAAAGATATATGAACCCCTATGTTCATTGCAGTATTATCCACAATAGCCAAGGCTTGGAAACAACTTAAGTGCACATCGATGAATGAATGAATAAAGAAGATGTGTGTATGTGAATACAGAAGATGTGTGTACACATATACACAACAGACTATTAGCCATAAAAAAGATGAAGTCTTGCTATTCGTGAAATCATGGAGGAACCTTGAGGGTATTATGCTAAGTGAAATAAGTCTGACAGCGAAAGACAAATACCATATGATTTCACTCACATATGGAAGATAAACAAGCAAACAAACACATTAATAGAGAGAACAGATTGGTGATTACCAGAGGGGAAGGGGGATGGGGGGAGGATGAAAGGGGTAAGGGGGCACATTTGTACAGTAATGAATGGAAGCTAGACTTTTGTGGGTGAACACAAGGTAATATACACAGAAGTTGAAATATGATGATGTACACCTGAAATTTATACAATGTTATAAACCAACGTTACCTCAACAAAACAAATTTTTTTAAAAAGAGAATAAATATGTATTTGTAGCATCTTTTTAAATAGGAATGCCTATGGTTTACATCACATATGAATTTATGTTTAAGACATGGGACTTGGAAAACTGAATTTCCTTTTACCAGAGAAAAGGCCAAAATAACACAGATATTTAAAAAAAATAACATTTATGGAAGTAATAAAATTTCAGAGCAGTAGTTTTTATTTAATGGAAGACTAGGATTTTAAGAAGGTGTTTCAGGGTTCCACAAAAGGTTTAACTTAGATTTCTTTGTTTAAAAAATATTTTTAACTATTAAAAAATTAAATATCGTATCTGAAGTCATTAAATATCAAATTTTAACACATTAAATTTCCAATGCATTATTTTATGCAGACAAATTACCTGTTTTTGCCCTGACTTCAGAAAAAGCTTTTCCTGACAACTCTGTGACATACATATTTGAACTTATAAAATATTTCAATGATTAAGAAGGTGGTAACTCTGAACTTCTTTTTTTGTGTCAATTCTATTTGTACACATCTACTTATTCAGATAAAGAGTTTGTTACACTAATTGATCCCACACATGACATCATAATTAAACACTAGGCAAAGCTCAGGCAGACTTGCTTATCACCACATAATAGTTGCACAAGTGAGTATGTAATATTTCATATTTTAATAATATAGACAGTGTAAGTTGCTAAACACGCTCCTCTCAGTTCCTTTTACTTCAGAATTCTCTACTTAATGTAAGTTTGAAGTTTTACCTATTTTCTAAAGAGGGTGTTACAGGCTCAGTTCCCTGGCCCCAGACTCTGAGAGGGAGAGACGCAGGGAGGAAGTTTACTAGGAAGTACTCCTGGGAGCAACACCTGTCGGGGGAAGCGTGAAGGACTGAGCAGAGGGAGAAGCTGAACTTCACTGACGTTGAAACACAGGTCTCAGCAGATACCACCAGCAACTCTGAAGCTTAGATGGCCTTTCAGAGTTGTCTCGAATTTAGGAAGAGGCCAAGCCTTTGTACACACTTATCTATTAGTCATTAGATGTGGGCTACTTCCAGGGAGAAGCTGTAAGGAACCTTGGCTGAGACAATAAACTTCCAAGTAGGGCAAGGCCAGGCAGGGAGGGACTCAGCTGTGAGCCATTAGCAGCCATCACTCCCGAGCACCAGGAATGGGTACCCCAGGCTAAGGAGTTATCTGGGCAGCACACCACAGCATCCACCAGAGTCTAAAAATAGTAAAGTCTAATTTAAAAATTAGACACATAAAAGGGAGGTGACCTGTGGAAGAGAGATAAAGGGGGACTCCCACATTTGGAAATATTACTTTGTATGTTTTTTAATCTCTTATGAGTATGTTTCCTATATGTGTGATGAAAAAATTAGAGAAACAGCATAGATATTACCTTCAGTATGTAAGATATATCATAATTACATTTCTGGAGTAAAATCTCCACATGTTATGAACGAGTACTTTCTCATTACAAAACTCCTTGAAGACACCGAGTTTAAGTGAAAAAGAATATCATATGGAAGTTTCTTACTTCATTGTGTTATATATTTCCAATTCTTTTTCTGAAAGGTTCTTTTTCAAGTTCCCCAAATGAAATGGATTTGGAAGAACAGACTTCTTTTTAGTGACCTGAAAAATACAGTTGAGTAGATCAGTTTATATCTAAGAATGAAATCAAACAGCAAAAATAACGTAAACACTAAAAATCCTTTTAAGACTACTTACTATTTTGCAATGTTTCTTTTCAATAGTTTTGATGCTAACTTGTACCTCTTGGCTTATCCTTTGCTAACAGTGACCCCAGGGCCATGTCAGAGGAGGACATGATAGTTCTCCCTGAAAACCTTCTACCAGAGCTATTACCAGGTTTTGTTACAATTATTTGGATGCATACTTGTCTCTCTCCCTAGACTCTGCACTCCTCAAAGTTAGGGGCTGTGTCTTATTCACCTTTGTATGTCCTTTGTGTAGCATGGCCGTTGGTTCATAGTAGGTGTTTAATCAACTGAATCTTAGAGATTAATTGAGTTTCTCATGGCTTCTTAAATCTATCCAAATTCTCTTAAACTATATTTCCTACCAATTTCACTGACTGGGATAATGAGTACAGTACCAATGTGGCTACTTCCTAAATACATCCACTTAGGGCTCCAAGAGAGCTCTACTGTTTGGAATTAGGAGAGCGAATCTATGGTTATTTATGCCATGACACTCAGAATCTCATATTTTATTCGTGCCCCTTCTCAGACTCCTCCTTCTTCATGCCTTGTCTGGCATCACCTCCATCCACCCAAAGGACAAGTTTCGAAAATGTTTTGAAAGAGCAGTGTCACTAGAATAAGTACAAAGCCTCCCAAGGTGATTACTCTAATCATCATTTGGATGTGTTATTGTATTTTCATGGAAAAAAAACACAGAAGAATGATACATAATCTGAAAAATGAACGTTCTCTGCTTTATAGTCAGATTTTGAATTCTTGAGTATGGAGACCAGACGTTTACAGGTACAGACAAAAAAAATCCATAACAAGATAGAATAACACATACAAATATGTACATACATATATATTTTTTAAGTTTCTGATTCTCTTTTTGTTTCTGCTGAACATTTCATTGGCTATTTAGTCAGATCAGCACCATAAATGCCTCACACCAAGGATTTTCCCTGTTAACATTGTGAATAGAGAAGAAAGAGATGAACAGGGGAAGCAGGATTAAAGTTTCCCTACTTTTAGGTCATGTCAAGCAGATGTCCTGCATGTTAAGGGGCTACTGTTTTATCACTTGATATTTCTTTCTCTTTTTGGTTCTGAATCATTGGTTTGCTAATAGTGATTAAAACAACCACCAGTTCAAATGAAGAATGATCTGCCACTAAAAATTCTCTTGCAATTATAAAATAGGGTCTGGAAAGACAGCTTAGCCCCCAGAATGTACACACTTGCAGGAACACATACCTTAAGCAAGGCCCCACCTTCTTCTGAACCATCAGAGCCCTGAGAGTCTCTTTGTTTCCGTACTGCATCCAGGGTAGTGCAGGCGCTCAGGCCAACACCTTCTCCACCTTCACAGCCATTGTCAGATCCTCCACTGTTTCGGGAAGGACTGGGTTTACGTGTTTTTAAGGAATAGTCACCAAAAAGAGTTCTTCTGCATGTTGGAGAGGTTGCTACTTTGGAAGTACCTTGCAGCATACTGAGGATAGGTGAGGTGGTCAAACTATCTAATTTTTCATGTGATCCAGCAAGGAACCAGTCAGCACAAGACAAACAGGGGCCTGGAGAAGATGCTAACCATTCATTTATGCGGGAATCTACTCCTTCCAGCTGGTGAAGAGTTGTTCTGACCTGATCCACATATATACAGTCTGGTCCAGGATTCCCAATAGCTTTGGATGCACAGCCTCCAGCTTCTAATAGTACACATAACATATAATGTCTCTATAAGAAAAAAATTATTAATATAGGTTTAGCTACATGAAAATATTTATATGTAATATGCATGCATAAATTTATGAATACTAAAGACATGGGATAATCATGTGGCGATTATTAAAAACTCCTTCCTCCCCTTTCCTTCTTAATTATTCTCAATGCTTCCTGATCACCCTTGAAGACAAATCTCATATTGCCTTATCCTGATATACCATCAGTCACTACTTTTGGCACATGGAGTTGCCTAAGATAGCTTTCGAAGAGCCTCAATTATTGGAAGTCCTTTCATTTACAATCACAGATTTACTCTGATTCTATATTCTTTTCATGTCTCCCTCTATTTCCCCAAACAAACCAGAGCATAAAACCACTATAGAAATGGGAACAAAAGATCTTAAGAACCTGCTAAAATCTTATCCTGGGTTTCATTAATATTTCTCCACGAGTATTAAATGGAAACAAAAGAAAAGGAATAAGGGGCATATAACATTTCATTGAATACTGGTATTTGACATGCTCATAATTTTAAATTATCATGTCTGTTTGTGTATTTACTTATTAAATAGCAAAAGAAAAAAAAATCCCAAGAAAGAGGCCAAGGGAAACTTACCAAGCCAACAATTAGCAAAAAATATCTCCCTTCAGGTTCCTGAAAGACTTCAGTGTTTGAGTCTGTAGAAGGTTGGAGGTGATGTCGAGGAAATACTTCTCTCCATATTACCAACTGACCAATTCTCTGTTTTGCTGCTAACGGCAATAGGCAATAGTGGCGACAGTATACAGCAATGTCAATAAGATCATCCTTAGGCAAATGACTGCAGATCAAATAACCCTTGAATTTAACCATAAAGAACAAAAGTCAACCAGTGATATCAAACAATAACTGCATAATATATTTCTAAGAATTTTATAGGTACTTATTCAAACAGAATAAATGAAGACGCAGTAAAAATAAATGTCGTCTTCCCTGAGGTCAAATAGAGATCAAATATTTATGATAACTTAAGCCTACAACAGGTAGACTTTGGCACAAAGCAAGATCACCTCTGAGCAGTAAAAGCCTAAGGGTTTGGCAAAATCAGAAAAGAAGTGAATTCTGAAGAGGGAAAGTGGAGAAGTGAGAGCTGAGGTGGGGAGAGACTTACTTTTCACTGTGTACCCTTCTGTATTGTCTGATTCTTTTTTAGATATGCTTTAAAATATTTTTGAAAAATGAAAATTCTTAAATCCATTTGATGCTTAATTTGCTTTACATGGAAGCCAACTACTTAATGTTAGAAGATTTACTAAAAAGATGCATGGTTATGTCTGAAGATAAGAAAAATGCACACTGCTGCAAAAAGAAATCAAGAAGTATTGCTCTTGCCTCTTACACACTTGGCTTCTTAAGTACTGTGTCTCCTTTACACATCTGCAAATGCTTTAGAATGTAAGGAAACCAGAAAATACTTATTGTATTTGTAAATATGTAGGTGCAAGTCTTGTTTTAAGATATTAATTTTACGGTACCGACATTCAGAGGAAAAGAGATAAATATATTTTTCATGTTTGTAAAAGGTTGAGAAAATTTACTTTAGGTCTGTTCATATAGCAACTGGACATTTATAAAAAATTTCAAGCTTCAACTTACCTTGTAAAATAGAGAAGACCCTAAAATCGTATACAACCGTCTCATGTCGTAGTAATCCTCAGACTGGGGGGAAAAACAACAACGGATTTATATTTTTTGTTTTTTTAACGAAAAAAACAAATCCTAGTTAAGCTACAATAGTTAAAATGGCAATTATATTCTTCAGTGACTAAACTTTTCATAGTGCCTTCTTTAGAAATCAATATACTAGGGTTTTAGGATGAAAGATAATGTGCATATATATTTATTTTTGATTGAGAACAATCTTATTTTTTATTCTTCTAAGATACTCTTGATTAGAGACATCTAAGAATCAAACGTAAGATTTGTTACTCCAAGAGGGACTAAAACAAACCTATCAAGACAAAAAGCTTCTATTATACATCACCTAAAATATCCAATATTACCATATACTTATTTTGAAAGGACAAATTGGTACAACCTATTTGGCGGCAACTGGGTCGTACGTAAAAAAAAATTAAATTACATATACCCTTGGATTAATTCCACTGCTAGAAATCTAGAGAAATACTTGAACAAGAGAATCAAGATTTTTGTATAAAAAGTTAATGATAGAATTATTTGTAATACGCAAAGATTGGAGACAAAGTGAACTTCAGCAATGGAAGAATGGTTAACCAAATTAGGTAGGTCCATAACACAGAATATCATACAGCTGTTAAAAAAAATAACATTAATCTATATGAGCAGGCACAAACGTTTTTAGGATATAATGTTCAGCAAAGAATGCACGCTACAGAACACAATATTCACTATGGTCTTATTTTTGTTAAACATAGCACCCCTCAATGATCTACACGTATGTATATACATGTGTTGGTTTGTATGCGGGTATGCATGTGTACAGAAAAAGGTCTGGAAGAATATGTCCCAAACTATAACAGCAGTTACAGCTGGGGATGGAAATCAGGGAGAGGGATGAGGAGTGAGGACATTTGTTTTAATAACCCATGCTTGCATTTTTACCCAATATGCACGTATTATTTTTATAATTAAAAAAAAATTAAAACCTAAAGAAAATTAGAAACTGGAAATAATCTAAATATCCCTCAGTTGGGGAATGGATAAACATGGTGATACATTCATACAATAGAATACTACCCAGCACAAAAAGGACTGAACTACTGATGCATACAATGACATGACTGAATCTCAAATGCATTAGACTAAGTGAAAGAAGTCAGACCCCAAAATTTTCCTACTGTGCGATTCAAGTTATATGACATTCCAGGAAAGGAAAAACCAGGGGGACAGAAAACAGGTCAGTGGTTGCCAGGGGCTGCAGGAAGGGAGAGGGGTTGACCATTGACCATAAAGGGGAACAGAAGAATTTATTGAAGATACCTTAATAATAATTTTAAAATAACCAAAGAAAGAACACAAAGTTAGGATATAAGATTAAATCTTCAATCTAATTTCACAAAAAGTTTAGAATAGATCCTTAATTTCACTTTATTAATTAAGGTAAAATTCACTGTGAATTGTTCTGCGAGTTTTGGCAAAGGCGTAAAGCTGTGTAAGTACCACAAAAATTGAGATATACAACAGTGCCCTCAACACTCTCCACCAAATTTTTTGGCTGAGCAGTATTCTACTGCATGAATATATCACAATTTGTTTGTCTATTCACCTGTTGATGGACAGTTCAGTTATGTGAATTGTTTCCAGTTTTTGGCTATTACAAATAAAACTGCTATGAACATTTGTGTATAGGTCTCTCTACTGACAGGCTTTCACTTCTCTTGGGTGAACACATAGGAATAGAATAATGCTGAATCATATGGTAGGTATATATTTAGGTTATTAAGAAACTGCGAAACTATTTTCCAAAGTAGTTGTATCATATTACATTCTCAATTTATCAGTTTTTTTCTTTTAGGGATTGTGTTTTGATGCTGTATCCAAGGAATTCCAATTAATCCTTTTCTAACCACGGAAAATAATGTTAGTTCCACTGCTCACTAAACTGATCTTCCATAAAGGCAGGAAAAAATGATATTCCATAAAGCCAAGCATTAGAGTTTTAATTAAATCTATCACATATAAGTTCCTAAAACTTGCATATTTTAATACTTTAGATCTAAACTGCTCCTGATGATTAGTATCTATCTAAACATTCTCTGTCAGTGAAAAAATTTATGACCTTCAAAGAATTCACCATGCTTAACTTTCCATTATCTTACAAATACCCTTCCATTTGCTCAGGATCTTAGTTAAGACTAAGCCACTCTCCAAACTATCATCCTCTCCCCACTTTCACCAGCAGTCTTCTTGAGAATGATCCAACTCACTGCTTCTACTTGCTCACTTCCCATTTACTTTTTAAAAGAACTTGCTCCTATGTACCCAACATCACTCAGCTTCAATTACGACTAGTACATGGCTAATCTTGTTTCACATATATCCCTCTCTCCTTCTTCCCTCTCCCTGCTGAATTATTTCAAAACCAATCCCAGATGTTCAATCACTGCATCTGTAAGTACTTGAGAATGTATCTCTAAAAGAGAAGACTTCAAAAATATCTAGAACCATAATACCATTACCACAACTAAAGAATTATTCTCAACTAATATCCAGTCACCAGCATTTACATTTCCTTGAATGTCTCAAAGATGTTTTTAAAATTTTGTTTGTTTCAATCAAGATCCAAATAAGGTCCATATATTGCAATTGGTTGATATGTTTCTTAGGTCTCTTGTAACTGATATGTTCTCTCTCAACTTCTCCCCCTGCACTCCTCTTTCTAATTTATTTGTTGAAGAAACTGTCCTGTAGTGTTTCCCAGTCTGGGTTTTGCTGATCGCAATCCCTCTCCCCAAAATGGGGTCATTTAACATGTTGCTTTTCCCCGTAAATTAGTAGTTAGATCTTGAGGCCTGATAGTATATTTCATAGGTGGTTTGTGTGCTTCCATCAGGAGCCACACACTATCTGACTCTTTCTTTTTGTGATGTTAACAGCCACTGATGATCATTGCTGAGACCCATTAATTCATTGGAAGATTACAAAACGGTGATATTCCAATTCTGTCATTCCTTCTTGATATGTTAAGTAGACTACTTCCATAAAGAGAAACTCCCCCTCATCTCTATTTGGTAACTTTGAGGTATGGTTCAGATAGGAAAGGTAGATGTTTGAGTCTTCCTCCTTATTTACCAGTTTTCACAATGAGCTGGTTCTCTTGCATCCTGCAAAGTTGACCAGTAAGTCTCTTTTGTTCTTTAATATCATCATGAACTCATGGACTTAAACATATCTGATGTGTTTCAATCTGTTAATACCTGTATAGATGCTCAAGTGGGAGGCTCTTCAAGTTGTCTCCTGATTACCTGAACCATATATTAATCCTTGTAATTTTTGAAAGCTTCTTATTTCTGATACAACAAGATGTTGCTGGGATTACCTTGTACATTTTCAGCCCCAAATCTGGAATCAGCCATTTCTCTTAGGAGCCTTCGTTCCTTTTAGTGAGAATTATTATTTATACACAATGGCCTGGGTACTAGCAGTGCCCATCACTCCTAGAATGGTCACTATTTCTAGGCCTTTTCACTGGACAGAGCCAGCAAAAATATTTTGTCTGTTTGTTTGTTTTGGTGAGGAAGATTGGCCCTGAGCTAAAATTTGTTGCCAATCTTTCTCTTTTTGCTGGAGGAAGACTTGCTGAGCTAACATCTGTGCCCATCTTCCTCCATTTTGTATCTGGGACACTGCCACAGCATGGCTTGATGAGTGGTGTGTAAGTCCTCACTCGATCTGAACCCATGAACCCCGGGCCACTGGAACAGAGCGAGCGAACTTAACCACTGTGTCGGCCCCTATACTTTTTGTAAAAAAGGTTAAAAACTATACTGATACTTCTAATTTAAATTGAAATCTATATGGTATTTAACTAATTTAATCAATATTACATAGATGTCCTTTCTCTCAAAGCCCACTTCTTTTTTTTTTTTTTTTTTAAAGATTTTATTTTTCCCTTTTTCTCCCCAAAGCCCCCCGGTACATAGTTGTGCATTCTTCGTTGTGGGTCCTTCTAGCTGCGGCATGCGGGACGCCGCCTCAGCGTGGTCTGATGAGCAGTGCCATGTCCGCGCCCAGGATCCGAACCAACGAAACACTGGGCCGCCTGCAGCGGAGCGCGCGAACCTAACCACTCGGCCACGGGGCCAGCCCCTCAAAGCCCACTTCTTAATGATACTAATGTAATTAATCATAATACATACACTATGTAACAAATATTTTTAACTGAGTGGAAAATCTTAAGGCAAGCAAAACAGATTTTGTCCGTGTCAAAATAGAGACTTAAGGTTACTTATTTCAAGATTATTACATGCCTACTTGGAAAATATTTAGAAAAATGACTGATTTACAAAAAAGAAATCAACATTGAGCCCTTCCTAAAATCCACTGCTTCTCTTACCAGTTCTGCAAAATCTGCGGCCTCCAAGTCACTCAGTGCCGTGTCTAATTCCATCTATGCGGGAAAAAAAAAAAAAGAGTAACGCAAACATTTAACTCATATTAGTTACTTTTTAGTAATGGCCATATAAAAGTACTTAAACATTACTTGAAGAATTGAATAAGTATCTTTCTCCTTTGCGTTATTTAAGAAACGTCCCCAAATGGATCATCTTGTTTTTAAGTTTTGCAATTACAAAAAAAATTAACTTATTTAACATATAGGCATTTTAAAATTAAATCTCAAATTAATTTAGAAAATCTTTTAACCTATTAAAGTTCTTAAAGGAAAAATATCAATCAATGTAGTTAATCTGTTTTGAGTTGTTTTTGTTTTTCTATTTCCTGTCTATTTCTTAACAGGTGGATTCTAGGAAAATATCAATATTCTTCCGTGTCTCTCTCCAATGTTTGATATAAAAGGACTGTTAATCTTTATTCACAGATTAAAACATGAAGGCAAGTGTTCCCCTGGAATCTGGCACAGTTTAACTACCCTACAGAGTTATTAGAAAAACCTCTTACTTAGGATTTAGCTTTTGTTTCTATAGAAATTGCCTGAACTCTTTCATGTATTTGTTCCTCCCTGAAGCATTCAAAATTTAAAAACAGAATAAATTCAATCTGCAATTTAATCTATAATGCATATAAATAAATTGACAACTACTGGCAATTGAAGCTTGTAGCATATATGCTATTTGTGAAAAAGAATGCTTTTTTTTTTTTTAAAGGCCAAAGCACTCTCTGCAGGACTGTTTCACAAATGGTGTCTTACTGAGATAACAAAAGCTTTGGAAACATTAGTCATGCCTTTCAATGCTTTTCACATGGTATGGCTTATTAAGCATTTGTGACCTACATTTTTCTGCATCTACCAAATAATTCTTGTTCTCCTTTGTGTGGCTATGGTTTCTCTTTTGAAAAACTACCGGACAAAAAGAAGATTACCCACTTGTGGTTTTTGATCTCAGAAACGTTATTGTTTAATGGGTTGCTATTCCTGATACTGAACTCTGTAACTAATGTACAAGTTTACTAATAACTGTTTCTTCATATTCCTTAAGAGGAAAGGTAAAGTATCTTTTCTCTTAGTTATTCCTGTGTACCTTAGGAAAAATGATAAAAAAGAATATCTGTAAACAAACAAAATAAGGAAATGTTCAAACATCTGGGAAAGAAAATTGAAGTGAGACCCCATTATATACTAATCTCAGAACACCTAAGTTTTTTCCAACTTAAAAATAACTGTTTCTGGGGCTGGCCTGGTGATGTAGTGGTTAAGTTCGTGTGCTCCGCTTCAGGGTCCTAGGGTGTGCAGGTTCGGATCCCTGGTGAGGACCTAGCACCGCTTGTCAAGCCACGCTGTGGTAGCATCCCACATAAAATGGAGGAAGACTGGCACAGACGTTAGCTCAGTGACAATCTTCCTCCAGCAAAAAGAGGAAGACTGGCAACAGATGTTAGCTCAGGAACAATCTTCCTCATACACACAAAAAAACAATAAAGATTAAAAGAAAAAACATTTCTACCTAAATTGTATCAGGCACATGTTACCCCACAGACGTTGTTTTTAACTGTATTTCTTAAGGCATAAAATTCCTTAATATTTTCCATTAGAAGATACATAGTCAACAAACCCTATGATTTTTAACACAGTAAGAAATCTCAAAGAGAACAAGAAAGTGTTTAAGTTCTTTGAGTTTGCTGGTGAAACAAAAACAAAAACTTCACAGGTTATGTTTTTCAAACTTTATATTCATCAGAGACCTTTAGACCACTTTATCAGAAGGTATCTCTCTCTCCAAAAATATTGTTCTCAAATATCTTAACCAGACTACAAAATACAGAAAACACCTAAGCCACACCCTCATTGTTTCCTATGTATTAATTTCATCTATCCGACTAAACTGTGAACACCCAGAGGACCTTTCTGGATTCCACAAAGCATGGCAGAAATCTGAGTACCTGGCACAGACTCATCTCCATACAGTAGTGTTAGACTTCACAAGGATAAAAGCAATCAGAGCTTTGGTGAGATAAGCAGCAGCTGAGATTTGAGGCAACAAATTAAAAAAGGTACAGTAGAATTCACAGTGATTTCTCAGTTTGATATTCTTTTAGGTTGAAATAAATAAAAGCATACAGTCCTTTTAATCATAAGTAGGCTAAATAAAATAATGCTAATAAAAAAGAACTCTGAATACAGGAGGTAGCCTTCACATGGAATTTATAAGACCAAAATAAGCTATATTTTAAACTGTCTTAAATTTCGTAGAGGGAAGACAGTATTTAACCTTAATGTATCCAAAGTCTAAAGACATTGCCCCTAAAAACATTAAGTACCTCTACTCTCACAAAAAGAAGAGGTTACATATTTTGAGGGAAGAGATTTCTTTAGTGAAGAGACTCTGAGACAGAGGAAAGAACTTGGGCAACTGCAAGACCAGAATGGCAGGACTCATGGGATAGCACGTTCTGATTCACGAAACTGGCCTGTGTCTTCCAGAAGAAAAAAGATTCCATAATGAGCATGAGACAGACTTTGGAGGCAAGGTCTTTCTCTGTTAAAGGTAAAGTTACCTATTACTTTCCGTTGATATTTCTTATGAAAACACTGGCGGGAGTAGAATTACATATCTCACACTTTTTAGTTTTTACATGATTTTGGAAAATGATACTCATTGGCCTGAGATATCAAAAGATCCAGCAGTGGGCAGTTGACAAAGGCAAGGACAAAATAAAAATGCCAGAAGGGGGCCAGCCCCATGGCCGAGTGGTTGAGTTCACGTATTCCACTTGGGTGGCCCAGGACTTTGCTGGTTCGGATCCTGGGTGTGGACCTGGCACCACTCATCAAGCCATGCTGAGGTGGCGTCCCACGTAGCACAACTAGAAGGACCTACAATTAGCATATACAACCATGTACTGGGGGCCTTCAGGGAGAAGGGAAAAAAAACAAAGACAGGCAACAGATGTTAGCTCAGGTGCCAACCTCTAAAAATAAAAAAAAATAGAAAATGCCAGAAGGCAATTTCCTTTAAACATGCTCTAACTGCTCAACTCCTTCCAAATAATGATTACATAATAATACTCTCACAACTATAACTACCCGTGCCAGGCACGACAGTAAGCACTTAACTCCCCTGTGAAGTAGGTACTATCATTGTGCCCATTTTACAGATGAGGAAACTGAGCAAAGCAACTGATATATCAGTGTAAGTTACTACTAAACTGTCAAAAAGGCATTTATTGGATCATACGTTGTAGGATTTCATGAAGAGTAGAATCTTTATTTGGGCTTCTACTACAACATGGCCTGGGTTTCTTCATGGGCAGGGAACTGGCTATGGCATAGTGCCTCATTTAATACTAATACAAATGCTGTGGCTAAATAGATTGCTGGTGATGAAAATGTATGAAATGATCTTTTCAGTCATTCAACAGTAAAGTTATTCTGGGTCTACAGATATGACTAAAATCACACTGATAACCATCATGAAGTCTTACCCTTGGTAAGCTATCTACAGTACAAGACAAAAGCAAATTACATATGTTCATGGAAAGAAAGATTTTGCTATTATTAGTGGAGTTTGTATTTTAGTTAAGAATATCGTTTGCTAGCCAATCATTTCATCTACATTTAATCTATATAGAAACATAACCCTAACTTGATCACCATGCATTATAAAATCAAAGTCACAAAATTCAAAAGTAAGACACATCGAATAATTATGGTTTCTGAAAAGAATTCCAAGTTTGGACAAAGCTTAAATGTTAAAGTAAAATGAGAGAGCTAATTTCTATTTAGAAAGAAAAATTTCTCTTTCTGAGTTCACTGCATTGGGTCTTCTACTTCATCAACCAATTGCCTCTTTAACTCTTACCCACAATCCCGAAAATGACAGAAAGCTCAAGGGGAAAAAAAAAAGAGAGAAGATAAAGACTTATAAGGCAACTGGGTCTCATTCTTATCTATGACACCTAAGATTACCTTGATTTCCTGTGGAAGTGTGAGCCACCGAACTCCAGGGAGATTGTCTAACAGTACCGCACCGGAAGCATCGTACTGCTGTGCACTGGGACTGGCACTGGAATGCAGTGCAGCAGGCTGAAGTGCTCTTTGAAAGAACAAGCTGAAAAAATGATCCAAACGAGGAACATTCTCAACCTGGCAAAAGGCACTGGAGAAACAAGAGCTGTAAGTTAGAACAACATATGGAAATGGTGGTCATCATTTGTACGCTCCTAAGGCGACCAGATCTTTCCCAACTACACAGGCTCTCTTCCTTACTCCTCTCCCTTAATGAGAAGTACTGCTCTAACGTCACTCAGAGAGTATGTTCAGAAGTTCACCCTGTCAGTATTTTTTACCCTAAAACCTACTCTCAAAAGCACTGAGTAGACGGCTCTCTGGAAGAACCAGAGAGCTAACACAGCGACGCATCTACAATAGAACAGGCTTTGTGTAAAAAACGTAAGTTGCTTTTACCTCTGACTATTTCAGCCATTTACAACTCCCAGTATCTTTGAGGCAACACACGATAATAAAGAGATTTGAGCTTTGTAATAGAGCCGATCTGGTTTCGAATCTTATCACTGCTCTCAGGAGGTAGATATCTCAGGAAAATTTCTGACCTTTCTCTGAACTTTCATTTCCAACTCTCTAAAAATGAGGATAATAGAATCTAACTCACATGCAAAGTACCTAGTACATAATAAGTACCTACTATGCTTACTACTTAGTAGTACACGGTAAGCACATAATTAGCCTAAGTTATTTCCTCCCTTCTTCACTAATGAAGGCATAACTACGGAAGAACTTACAAAAAAAAAAAAAAAAGAGGGAGAAAGAGACTCTAAACACTTCATTTTAGCCATGTAAAAGTAATACCACATCGCCTGCAACCACTCACTGGAATAGCCCACTAGATAACACAATAACTGGCATATACGCCGTAACATATCAGAATAACATTCACTGATTCATTCAACAAACTACTTGAGTGCGTACTATATTCCAGGCGCTGTTCTCACTGCTGGAGGTACAGCAGTAAAAATATCAAGATAAAAGACAAGGTCTCTGCTCCCGTGGAGCTCACATTCGGGTGGAGAAAAACAACACATGAGCAAACAGTAAAAACATGAACTCGTACAAAGGACCAGACAGAGAAGAGGACCATGTGAATGGGTGATGTGACTGGTCGGCTATTTTAGATCAAACGGTTGGGGAAGGGTCTCTGAGAATGGGGTATTTAAGCTGAGATCCCAATGTCAAGAAGGTCCAGTGAGAGGAAAGTGTGCAAAAGCCCCAGGAGAGGAACAAGCCTGGCCAGGGTGCCTGCAGAGCAGTGCAGAGGGGCAGGTGTGGTTTGAGACCTGAAATCAGAACGGTAGGTGGGAGCCAGATAGTAACATAGAAAGATCACTCTAACTGCGTTTGGAAATTAATTCAAGTGGCAAGAATGTAGGCGAGGGAACCAGTTAGGAGGTTACTGTAGTAGAGAGAGATGGCGGTGGCTGGACAGGGTAATAGTGAAGATGGAGGGAAATGGGTAGATTTCAGATACGTTTTGGAGACAAACTGATTAGGATTTGCTAATAGATTGGCTCAGAATAGTGAAGGAAACTATTACATCTTTAATTTGATCACAACAATAAACTTTGTTCATGTACAATCAGTTTTCTGCGGCTCACAGGGAATTAACCAGCTCACAACCTGAAAAGATAATTAAGTCTTTGCACTTTTTAGGCTTTTCATAATTTTTCGCAATGGGCCTTTAAGAGCATTCATAACCAGAAAAAACCTTCTTATGAAAAAAGTCATTGCAGAATGACTCTTAACATCTTGGATTCATACTGCTTGGTTTTAAGCACTCAAAGGATATTTACATTTATTATCTTAGTTTGCCTTTCAAATTTTCACTTAAACAAGAAGAAACTAGTTAAATTTGCTGCCAACTTGGAGATACTTCTAAATCAATGGAAGCTAAATTTCAGGATGAAATTTAGAGAAATTAAGAGTCCCTCTGTCCCCAACCTACTCCATTGGAATTTGCAGAACAACCTCAATTGTCTTCATGTACGGAATTCATTGCAGTAATTTAATCTTTGATTATCTCCGGCTTTATGAAAACAAGAAAGCTTCAGTTAGGGCAAAGCATAGCAAGGTTTGCTCATCTAGTGTAAATTTAAGGAGGTAGTTTATAACCACATCCTTACTCTTCATTGGTTAAAAAGTTCCTTATTAGTAAAAGGTAAAAGCACTGTTTGTGGCTGCCCGGCCTTTTGTAGCACACACATTTGGAAAACGCTAATAAGTAATCAGGTTTGAGAGGGAAGCATCTGCTAAGAGGCTCCTGGAGGACAAGGCTGCAAAGTAGATGATTTTCCCAGACGGCAGAGTCACAGAAAATTCCTTCAGGTGCTTCGAGAACAGTGACAACAAAGATCAACTATAGATAATCAGAGAGCTGATTCCATTATGCTTTGGTAAAATGTGTAAATTGTTTTCAATTTTTTTTTTTAACTTTTTTTAATCAAAATATAATTGACATAAAATATCCTATGAGTTTCATGTATACGTCATAGTGATTTGATATTTAGATATATATTATGACATGATCACCATGATAAGTCTAGTTACCACCTGTCACCATACAAAGTTATTACAATATTATTGCCTATATTCCCTATGCTGTACACTACATCCCCATGACTGACTGACTTCATAACTAGAAGCTTGTATTGATGTACGCTTAAGGCTTTGAAAGCAAAGATATCATTTCAGCCCTCTGAAGTATTGGGATTTACAAAAATCCCATAAAAAGGGGCCGGCCTGGTGGTGCAGCGGTTAAGTTTGCACGTTCTGCTTTGGCGGCCCGGGGTTCGCCGGTTCGGATTCCGGGTGCGGACATGACACCGCTTGGCAAGCCATGTTGTGGCAGGCATCCCACATATAAAGTAGAGGAAGATGGGCAGGGACGTTAGCTCAGGGCCAGTCTTCCTCAGCAAAAAGAGGAGGATTGGTGGCAGATGTTAGCTCAGGGCTAATCTTCCTCAAAAAAAAAAAAAAAAAAATCCCATAAAGAGAAAAATCTGTTTTCCATCCATAATTTTACATGTTCAAATGTTGAACAGTTATCTCAAATTTCCTCAAAATTCCATCCTTCAGATGCAAGAAGGATGCATCACCTTATATTGCAAGGTTAAAATAGCAGAAGGTGGGGCTGGCCTGGTGTCACAGCGGTTAAGCTCGCACATTCTGCTTCTTGGCGGCCTGGGGTTCGCCGGTTCGGATCCTGGGTGCGGACATGGTACCACTTAGCAAAAGCCATGCTGTAGTAGGCGTCCCATGTATAAAGTAGAGGAAGATGGCCATGGATGTTAGCTCAGGGCCAGTCTTCCTCAGCAAAAAGAGGAAGATTGGCAGCAGTTAGTTCAGGGCTAATCTTCCTCAAAAAAAAAAAAAAAGCAGAAGGTTTTTTAGGTTAAGGTTAAGAAGCAGAAAAATATGAATATGAGCCCACATGTGTAACAAAAGAGCATATGTATATTCATATTGTATAGAAAATACATGGAAGGATACACATGAAACTAAATAGTCAATACTTTTTCTACTATGTCTTTATTTATTTTAACAGTGAACACTTATTTTACTAAAAATTTTTTTGAGAAAGAAGTATCAAATTTTAAGATAGTGAATTTGACAATGGTCTTATAGTCAAAGAAAAAACCAAAAATCTTATTTAAAATCTTCTCACTCTTTTCTGTATATGTTATGAAGAAATGCTCTTACATTTGCCCCTACAGAAATACGTCAAATCAGAATATAATTGTGGTTACATCACTATTTTACTAAAGTAACATATGAGACCAAAAAAGAAAAAGCAGTGGATCCAATGAAAAACTGCCCAAAGCTACTAGATAAAAGCCAGTAATAAAAGGATGAGAAAATTCTAAGAACAAGAAAATCTCCAAACAACTAGCTTTTCAACCAAGGAACAGTATTAGGTACAAAAGGTGATTTAGAATCATCTACTTAAAACTTGAGATTCAATTTAAAGAAGTACTTACCTATCTAAAGAACTATACATAAATTTTAAGGTTTGGGCAAGATCTTCTATCATATTCCTTAGCTGAGGAAGAGGAACTCTAAATAAAGAAAAAATACATCTGTTCATTTATAACATAATCAAATGATACACCTCTAAAAGCTGAACATTACATTTTATATGTAAGGAATGTGAAAAGTATGTGTGTCAACTGCGAGTGTAGCTGTGTAAAATGGTTGTTTACTGCCTTAGCAATGGAAGACTCTGATGTCCAGATCTGGGGTTCTAGCATGGGTCAAGTAGGGACTTTTTATATCATCATCTATATGCAAACTATTTAACCCTCCTTAGGGTTCAGTTTCCTCCTGTGTAAACTGGGGACAGTACCCACTAAGCCCTTCTCAGGTTCATTTTGAGGATTAGATAAAATTAATGCATATAAAGCAGTTAGCACAGTACCTGGGACCATAGAAAGAAATGCTAAATTCTTGAACTTTCCATTATTACCCACACCTCAACTGAAATTCCAACTCCTGTGACAGAAAGACATGCCTGAAGCAAATGGAGAAAAGAAAGAAAGTAGGAGAAAGGAAAGAAAGAAACAGACTGAACATTTTCTCATTGAAGACATGTAAGAATTCTACAAGGTAGGTCTTATTATTCCTATTATACCAATGGGTAAACTGAGGTCCAGGAAGTTAGGTAACTTGTGCAAGGATACAAAGCGATGGAACCTACTGGTGGGCTCCATGTTCTAGCTCCAGCGTTACTCTCTCCACTACCTCACACTGTCTGCCAGGTTAGCTTCCTGCTGCTCACTGCAGGGAGATCATGCAGGATGATCGCCCCTCTGAGAACACTTGTTCCTGGATTATGTGCCCCCCCTATCTTTTTTCAAGGCGGCACTTTTCTCATCCTGCTTGTAAAAGGCATAGTAGTAAAGAGGGAAATGCACAGGCAGTAGCATGAAGACATATGAGGGAAAAATTCCAAGGCTGCCGGTTCAATTACAAACCATATGCACAATGTTGGAGATACAGACATAGGAATTGACACTGAGGCGGTGCCTGTGCATGACCTCTCAATCTAAAACTATTTCCCAGTTTGAACAAATGAGAATAATAATACTTATCTTTCACGGCTACGTGAAACAAGATGGAATAAGGAAAAGAATCTGGTATAGCATAGCTGGTATCAGCATTAAGAGAACTGGGTAAAGAAGCTGGTAGGGCTTATTTTTGAGTTGAAGCTCAGGATAGGGAATACAGGGGATCTTCCAAGTTCTCCAGGATAGGAATGACATAAATATTTAGGGAAGACCACTCTAAATTTTATCCACCCCCCTCAATAATAAAGATTGAGGAGTTGGCTAGGGCACCCCGTATTGTGGCACAACCTGAATCCAGAGGTCAGCAGTGACAGTCCTTTTGTGGCTTCAAACCTCTCCTGGAAACTGTCTCTATTTACCTAACTAATTTGGCTAGTGGCAGCAGAATGTGGTTCAGGGACCGGCCTGGTGGTGCTGTGGTTAAGTGCGCATGTTATGCTTCGGTGGCCCGAGGTTCGCTGGTTCAGATCCTGGGTGTGGACATGGCACCGCTTGGCACGCCATGCTGTGGCAGGCGGCCCACATATAAAGTAGAGGAAGATGGGCAGGGATGTTAGCTCACGGCCAGTCTTCCTCAACAAAAAGAGGAAGATTGGCAGCTGTTAGCTCAGGGCTAATCTTCCTTAAAAAAAAAGAATGTGATTGAGCAGCCTCTGCTCAGTTCCTTAGCTGGGCCTTCCTCTCCTCTCTCTAATTGCCTACACTACCATTATCTTCCTTTGTATTATTTGCTTATTTTCTTTTGCCTTTTGGGCTACTACAAAAGTGAAAAATGAATGTTTTATCCTGCCACCACATCCTAAAGTATCTTCTTCTGGATGTTCTATAATTCTTGTAAACACACACTTTCAAAACAACCCAGCTTTTCAAATCCAACCCACTGGCCTAGCACGGTCTCCTAGCAGATTTCATTATAATCCCTTTTTAGACAGAAAAACATACATTAGCTGATTAAAGAGAGCCATCATCTAGTATATGTCATAGCACCATTATCCCTTCATGTTAAAAATTTTAAACCCCACATTTAATGATAGATCTTATCTCTTTCTGTCGAAAATTAAAGTCACCTTCAAAACAAAATCATTTTGGTATTTTTCACTGCAGTCTCCTTTGGAGTTCCTGTTTGTGGCGTTAAAACATGTCCACAAATTGTTGGATATTCTTCCCCTCAAGAGGTGGAGCTTCATTCTCCTCCCCTCGAGTGTGCTATGGACTTATACCTCACTTCTAACAAATACTAGGTGGTGGAAATGCCAGTCTATCATTTCTAAGACTAAGTCACTGAAGGTTTTGCGGTTCCCTCTCTTTCTCTATTTTGGATCACTTGCTTCGGGAGAAGCCAGCTGACATGTTGTGAGGACACTCAAGCAGCTCTATGGAGAGGTCCACATGGCAAGGAACTAAGGCCTCCTGACAATGGCCATGCGTGTAACCCATGTGCGTAAACCGCACATCCTCCAGTTCCAGGTGAGCCCTCAGAGGACTGCATCCCTGGCTAAGATTTGCCTGCAACCTCAGGAGAGATCCTGAGCCAGAGCCACCCAGCTAAGTTGCTCATGGGTTTCTGACTAGCAAAAACACCTATGAGATAATAAATGTTCCCTCTTTTAAGTCCCTTAGTTTTGGGGTAACTTGTTACGCAGTAATAGATAACTAATACACCGTTACATAATGAAAGAAATCTGGTTAACAGTCACTAGTAACAGAAAATAATCATATTCATGCTCAGATTGCTGTATATGCATTTTTGGGTCCACTTTTCTCTTCCTTGGGAAGCTTAAAGCAACACCAAAAGAAAATTTACCTAAATCAGTATTCTCTTAAGTTGTGTCAGTCACACACTATACTATTTATTTTGATATCTGATTACTATTGGTAGACAATATATGATGAATGGTTCTTTGGACCAAATGGGAAAACTAAAGTGTGTTTCATAGTTTAATAGAAGTTGCCCAGTTATTTTTTAAAGTAGGTAAGAGTCTACTTTACAAGTTTTAAAATTCATTGAACAGGGACATAGACTAGTCTATCAGTGGTTAAATCCTTCTCCTTGAGACTTCTCCATATTCCTACCCCACTTTCCCCCCAGCTTTTAACATCCTACGACATTGGGGAAGCAGTGTAGTAGAAAATTCAGACAGACTCTCATTCAATTTCCAATTCTGCCTCTTGCTGATTATGTGAACTTTGGCAAGTTATTTAACTCTTCTCTCTTCATAACCTCATTTATAAAATGGGGAAAGTGATCACTAAATAGACCTCAAGCTATTTTTGTGTGTGTGTATGTGTGAGGAAGATTCGCCCTGAGCTAATATCTGTTGCCAATCCTCCTCTTTTTTTGCTTGAGGAAGGTTATCCCTGAGCTAACATCTGTGCCAATCTTCCTTTACCTTGTATGTGGGATGCCTCCACAGCATGGCTGGTGAGTAGAGTAGGTTCACAGCTGGGATCTGAACTCGAGAACCCTGGGCCGCTGAAGTGGAGCATGTGGAACTTTAACCACTCAGCCACAGGCCAGCCCCTCACACTAATTTTGAAGATTAAATGAGATTAATGAATGTAAAATATCTAATGCAGTCCCTGAGTTCAGAGTCAGCTCATTATAAATGTCAACCTTGCTCTTACCTCCAACTATAAAAATAAGATATATTTCAAAATACTTGCAAAAAAGTTAAGGAGACAATGAAAATATAAGATGTACCATTAGAAAAGTCACTTTAGAATTCAATATTCATTATTTTGTCAGAGGTGCTCAACATGAGGGCAAAATACCTTTCTGCTGATCCTTAATTCTCCAGAATCTCAGTTTTACAAAAAACTGTAAACACACAAAATCCAAATCATGATATTGTCAAAATTTTGAGCAGAGGACAATGTCATCTCTCAGCCGCCTCTATACTGGCCACATCTCAGAGGAAAGTGTATTGACAGCCCCCGGGCTTACTAATTGGTCTAGCTGGGCTTTCCTGGCACGTTTCTGCACTTTTTGTAACAAATGAACAGACAGCTATTGTACTAGTGCAATACTCCTTTAAATCGTAAAACTGTTTAAAGAGCTTGCCTTTTGACAAAACTGTCACAATTTTATGAAAGACTTTGTTAGCAGTATTTTAGAAATGATTTTAAGGCAAACAAAAATTTCAACTTACTCTTCAGCAGGCAGGCCAATTAACAACAACTTGTCGGATTCTTTCCAATAAGCCACATGAACTTGTTTCCCATTTAAGAGAAGGGATGAACTAAGAAAAAGAAAGTCAAGATGAAATTAGAATATCTTTAAATGTCATAAAATTATAAATGAGCCTTCATAAAAGATTACGTATGGTATGCTTTAAGAACATACTTGATAAGCAAATTTCTTGGCATATATTTAACAGCCACACAGAAAAAGAAAGGAATTGTATAACAACAAAAATATATTCTGAAATATTTTTTAAAAAAACAAAAAACCCTAGGTCATACAAAAGTAAACTCTTTTGTTAACATTTAGTGACTATATACTATTTTTTCCAAAAGAAAGCTTCTATCACAGTGTGTTAGTTTAACATATCTTTTCTGATTGTCTGTTTATGAACATGATTACCAAAAGAGATGACAAAGAAAGGAAGGCATGGATGATAATTCAACATGGGACATAGATATATAAGCAAGTAACCAAAGTATAAGTCAGATTTAACATGTTCTCTTTTGGAGAGATGGATATATTTATACATTCATGGTGATGGTTTCAAGGTCTATAACCATGTCAAAACTGATCAGACTGCACATTTTACATATGTGCAGTTTACTGTACTTCAATGAAGTTGGAAAACAAATTTAAAAAGAGATACAATAATGAACTATGGATATATAGAGAACATAATGATCCCTTCTGTAGTATGTATAGGCGGTGGGAAGAAGATAAACTAAAAATATATTTAGTGTTTTCTTTCTTTAAATGAAAATACATACATCAGTCTTTACCTCTTGAGTCCTTAGGATATAGTGTACCTTCTATACTGTAGTAGGTAAATATGTGGGATTTTAAATATGAATTGCTAGATTTTTTTCAAAAGGGATATTACTTTTGCATTAGTAAAGTTTAAAAATGCATATACTTTTAGACAAATATTAGACTCTTTTATAGTCATACATTAATATCACTGTAGTTTTATTTATTTATTTATTTATTGAGGAAGATTAGCCCTGAGCTAACTACTGCCAGTCCTCCTCTTTTTGCTGAGGAAGACTGGCCCTGAGCTAACATCCGTGCCCATCTTCCTCTACTTTCTATGTGGGACGCCTACCACAGCATGGCATGCCAAGCAGTGCCATGTCCACACCCGGGATCCGAACCAGTGAACCCCGGGCCGCCAGGAAGCGGAACGTGCGAACTTAACCGCTGCGCCACCAGGCCAGCCCCTCGCTGTAGTTTTAAAACAGTGTATGCAGTAAAAGATACACATGTTGCTAAGGTATCCTTGAAATAATAATTATTTTCATATTTACTGTTTCACAAAAAAGTTTTCTACCTTTATTTACTGTTTTCCACATGTTTAACCCATATCTTATCATTAACAAGATCTAAATATCAAGTAAAATAATATCTATCCTTTACAGTTAAAAGAGATCAAATCCATATGGAGAACTTAAATACTTAAACAAACTTAAATTTTCTTTCTAATAATATTAAAAAGGAGGCCTGCACCTTGAAAACATTATGCTAAGTGAAAGAAGCCACTCACAAATAACCACATATTATGATTCTACTCATATTCACATCCAGAATAGGAAAATCTATAGAGACAGAAAGTAGATGAACGGTTGCCCAGGGCTTAGAATGGGGTAAGTGGATTGACAGCTAAAAGGTACAGCGTTTCTTTCTAAGGTGATGAAAATGTTCTAAAATTGACTCTGGTGACGGCTGCACGTACCTGTGAATATACAACCACTGAACTGTGCACTTTAAATAGGTGAACTGCATGATATATGAACTATATCTCAATGAAGTTGTTCAAAAAAATGAGGCCTACAACATGCTTTTCCGAATGCAAATTTATACACTGAATGGAGCCTAAGTTACTAGTGTCTTAAAATGAACTAATGTCTTCTACACAGACTAGATTAAAAGTCCCAGAGTGAAACATGACTTTTATTTAGAAAAACAAGGAAATTCTTCTTCCTGTTGTCCTGCAGGTCCTATCTTTTAAAACCACAGACGTGTCGGGGCTGGCCCCGTGGCCGAGTGGTTAAGTTCCTGCACTCTGCTGCAGGCAGCCCAGTGTTTCGTTGGTTCGAATCCTGGGCACAGACATGGCACTGCTCTTCAAACCACGCTGAGGCAGCATCCCACATGCCATAACTAGAAGGACGCACAACGAAGAGTACGCAACTAGGTACTGGGGGGCTTTGGGGAGAAAAAGGAAAAAAAAAGAAAATCTTAAAACCACAGAGGTGTCATTTTTAACAGAAGATGGGAAAAGTTAAAGTCTTAGAAAATACAACTTAATATTTTAAAATCTCAAAATTTGAGATAAACTGTTTTTGTAAAGTCTAAAATTGTTGTAATATTAAGGAAGAAAAATGGTTTATAACCCCTAGACTTATTTTACATAAAAAACAACAAAAACCCCAAAAAACAAAATTCAAAAGCTTTGAGCCCCCTCCTCCCATAAGTGAACTACGGCATTTCAAAGTCAGGGCTTGGGTGCCGGCCCAGTGGCATAGTGGTTAAGCTTGCGCCCCCTCTGCTTTGGTGGCCTGGTATTTGCCGGTTCAGATCCTGGGTGCAGACCTGTGCACTGTTCGCCAAGCCATGCTGTGGTGGCATCCCACATGGAAGAGCTAGAAGAACTTGAAACTAGGATATACAACTAGATACTGGGGTTTTGGGGAGAAAAAAAAGATGAGGACAAGCAACACGTGTTAGCTCAGGCCCAATCATCCACAGCAAAAAAACAACTACAAAAAAACCCAACACAAGTCAGGGCTTGATACATCAATGTGGAACGGGATATATGGCTCTACAATTGACTATATGACATATTTTATTTAAAAAAAATTATTTGACATCAGTCTTGCTTATCCATCACTGAGTGAACTTGCACCAACAACACTATAGTCTGAATACTCTTCCTAGAGTATACGTATATTTGGTATTTTTCTATCGTTGTAAGAACAGAATATTTTGAACTATATGAAAAATTCAGCATTCTGTCATTCTTACCATCATGAAGGTACCGCCTAGCAAGTTAATAATCAAGATTAAAACATGGCAAAACACAGACTCACTGTAATGCCATGCTTAAGAGATATAATCCTCATGAAGAAATTCTAAAGCATAGGTCTTCAGTCTAACTTGGTTAATTAAAGTGTGCCAAAACATGGAGATGTAAACCTACACTTTAAATAGATGACTGGTAGAAATAACCTAGGTGAGAAACAAAATGTCTGCAGACATCATATCTGCTATATAGATATCGACATTATAGATACAAAAATATTTGTATAATAGATACATGTATTAGTATTTTGTTTGTCAGAACCAAGGTAAAGAACTGGAAAGAAACAGAATTAAAGATAAATAAGAATAAATTATTACCTAGTAACTTGTGTCCCAGTTACATTTTCCAACATGTCACAGAGTGTGAGAAATATCCCTCTCACACTTTTAAGTTTCTGAGATGCATCAGATACTGGATAATGATAAAGAATTTCCTGCTGTTAAATGAAAAGAAATAGAAATGATCAAACTCTCCAAATTTTCCAATCATTATTTTTGTCATGGAAAGTTCAGACTTTGTAGTAAGTGAAGAACAAAACAATGAATCCTTCCAGCTTCAGTGGGAGTTTTATTCAAACACAAGGAGAGAAGTATGCCTGGAATTTTAACACATTGCCTGGTATTTAAAATACCACATCTGAAAATAAGTTAGAGACTGTCAAAATTAGTCATGATACCAAAATATACAGTGAATAGGACACTCATTGATTAGTTGGAATAATTATAATTAATTTCGAATAATGTTTTAAACTTTAATTTCCTTTATAATAAATCTAGTACTACTATTTTATTATATTTCATTATTCAGATTTTATCTCCTGTGTTTACATATCTACACAGACACCACATGTAACTCTTAGGAGTCTTTAAATTTACTTACTTTCATTACTTGACTTTTAAAAGATAATCTTCATCATCTTTGGTGAAATCATGAAATCTTTACTTTAACCCAAGAAAAAACTGCAATTAAACTCACAAAGTGAAAATACAAAATTAAAGTAATGTATATAGGAAGAAAGGAGTACTTTGATATTATAAAAGTTTATCTGTCTTAAATTTGAAAGGGTTTGCCCACCACAGATTAATGTGAATTCAAACTTTAACAGGGCACCTTTGAAATTATGGAAAATACTAGATCTACAAGATAACTCACAAAATGCTTAATATTTTTCTATTTTCAAGAAGTGCATGTTCCCAGGAAACAAATAAGTTTTACAAAAGAAAATAAATTTCAAAATCAGGATGTGCATTGTGCTGGAACTTTCATACAAAGGGATCAATCATTCTGTACCTCATTTTTTTGCTGTTACTTAAAGCAACATGGTATTTTTCTCACAAGGCAAAACAAAAATTTCTAGATAGAAACCACGGAGAATTCAGAGCAGCTGCTAGTTATGCTGTGTAATGACAATATCCATAAATATTAATATAGACACTATTAAAAGCCCAAACTCTTAAAATATCACATCTTTTCCTTCGTTCTCTCTCTAAAGAGTGTTCTACACCTTGCTTTGGTCTCTCTTTACAAGAAATAATTATGTGACTTGAAGTCCATGTCTTGGCAACTTTTAATATTAAATAGAAATAATGATAAACTGGATACACCTTTTTTTTACACTTATTAACACATTCAATATATGCAAATTGCTATGGAATATGTTGGCCAAATACACTTTAACAACTCAAATTTTCTTGCAATATTTCTAGGGTAAAAACAGTTACAAAACATTTTATCTCTAGAAATTAAATCAAACACCAGTTAAGGTCTTCTGTTACGTTTACTTCATAAATTAAACCTTGACTAGCAAATAAGCTTATTGTATTTAGACAAATACCAAACACCACTTTAAACAAATAACCATATACTTTGACTTGTTTTTCGAAATTTCCAAATCTTGTAACTTGAAGAAGACAAGCTTTTATTAAACACGTAACTCACATGAAAATGAAATGACCCTATGACATTCTATTGTAAAAATAAGTCACACCAGTAACAAAGGTCATTTGGGAAAGTTTCTATTCCAACCGCTACAGCGACCAGCCCAGAGAGGCTCACTATTAAAGACCTGGCAAGCTCTACCGTTCCTAACCAATTTAATTAGCTGTATTTTAAAGCACTTGTCAGCAGCATACACATGCAGCAGCTTCCACTCTGTTCAGTAAGAATAAAAAGCCTCTCCTAATGACAATGTTAATTACAGGGCTGTCAACAGAGAGAAACCTGTTCATTCAAGAAACATCTATACACTTTCCCAGGGAAAGAAAGCCAAGGATGACAAAAGGCCTCAGCAGTATCCTACTCCAAGACGACCTAGAAAGATTCAGGGTGCCACCATCCCAGAAATTTGTTGTGTGTTTTACATAATAAATGGTTACACTTCTCATTTGTTTTAAAGATACAAAGGACTAGTAACACATGCAAGAAACTACAATTATTAACTTTAGGTATCTATGTATTTTTCAAAACACAGAAAATTACCAAAATATGTGTAAGTAAATCCTTTTTCCATTTCAATTATTGACTAAATTTGGATATATGAAGAAGCAACACAAGGAAATAGATTCCTTGGAGAAAATGGCTCTGGCATTGAGAATATAGGCTGCAAAGATTTCAAAAGCAAAGAAATGTAAATTAGGTAAAAACTTTATAGATCTCACTTCTGCTCGAAGCCTTAGGGAAATCTAGATGCTTTGAGAGACCCTTGTGGTGTAAAACAACTATATCCAGGCCAAAAGAGACCTGTTGTTGAACTGCTGAATATGTAAGAAGTAGAAGGGTTTCCAGGGACATCCTCTCGATACCCTTCCAACCGCCTTCTCCACCACAGCAGAGCAAGCCGGGGCCTCAGCTGGGAGTGGTGAGAGGGACGGAGGCAGGGTTGTCCTGAGGGCTGACGCCTACAATAGCTTTAATCAGGACACTGAGCATTGGGCTGGTGGCTAGGCAGGTAAGCTGAGCCTAGGACGGTTGCGCTAAACCCAGACCCTTGAGTAAGGCTGAGGTGCCCTAGGTCAGTGGCAGAAGCAGAAGTAAATTCTCTCTGGAGAAGGGCATTCCCACTTGAGAATCACAGGGCTCCCAAAGACAAAATCAAGCAATAAGTTTAGTCAATGATCCCCAAGGATATAAGAAGGCAAGCCACCACAAATCAGAGTCCCCTCAGGACTTAGAGATAGTGGACTGGGCAGACACAGAATAGAGAAGAGCTATGTATGAAAAGCTTAGAGAAATACATAGAATCACTAAGACAAGCAAGCAACAAGAGACTACTAGGAACAGCACGGCAGATTAGAGTGTAGGAATAGAACACAGATCAGTTAAAAACTTTTCAGGAACTTCTAAAAGTAAAAATATGACTGTTTAAATAGAAAACACAATGGAGAGGTTAAAAAACAAGTCTGGACATAGCAGAAGCAAGAAACTGAAGAAAGAAAATAAAAGACAGATTCCTTACAAAGGATGAGTGACAGCAGACTTCTTAACAGCAATAACAGAAGTCAGAAGACAAAGAAATACTATCTTCAAACAGATACGAGAAAATAACTTTCTACCTAAGTGGCATTAGCAATACCATGTGTTGACTTCCTCTTCTTCTTGGCCACACAGGAAGACATTTTACACCTCCTTGCATCGGGAGAGACCATATAACTAGTTCTAGGTACCTGGAACCTGGGCAGAGTGATGGTCCTACTTTTAAGACAGGCCTCTGAAATGTCCTTTGTGATATGCATGCTTTCTCTCTTCTCTCATTAGCGAACTAGATGTGAAGATCCAACAGGGGGTTCGGAAGCCCTTGGGAATAACGGAACCACCAGATGAAGGGCTCCAATCCCTGAGCCACATGAACAAATACTACATTAAAATGAGAAATAAAGTTTTATTATGTTAAGCCACTGAGATTTTGGGTTGTTTGTTATAGCGACTGGCCTATTCTAATTAATATAATGTCGAATTAAAGCTACCTTTCAAGAAAAGGTGAAAAAGACATCATCAGATAAATAACAACAAGAAGAATTTATCACCAATAGACTTGCACTAAAAAGAAATAGCTAAAATACATGTTTTAGGAAGAAGAGAAATAATCAAATAAGGACAGTCTGAGATGCAAGAAAGAATAGTGAGTAGAGAAAATGTCAAGCATATATGTAAATTTAAAGAAGGAAATATATGCATGAAATATAGTGTATAAAATATGCATTTCATAATACATAATTTATACATTTTATAATGTATAAATTCATAATTATCAGTAGCAGTACTAGTAGTATACTTATGCCCAATTTGTGGAACTAAAAAAAAAATGATAGCACTAAAATATTGATGACAAGAGCATGGAGGTGAAAGGGATAAGTGGACTTAGGGTGTACTACAGGCCTTGGATTATTCTGAAAAGGGGTTAAGATAGTGCTTAATGTTAGACTCTGTTAAGACAAACATCATGGTGAAATTTTAAGAGTAATCACTAAAAAAATAAGAGCATATACTGTTTTTGAATAACAATGATACAAGCAACCAAAAATAGGTAAGAAAAATATTATGGAAAAAGCAGTTCAAACAGAAATCTTTAAAAAGATGGCAGAAAAACTTCAAATATTTCAGTAATCTCTATAAATGGACTCAACAAACTTGTCAATTAGAAGATTGCTGTGTACAAAACATACCCACACCATAAAGATATAGAATGACTCAGAAAAGCACTTATTCATTTTGAAGACTATAAAAAAGGTCCTTACTTTTTCCTTTGCACTTTGAGAAGACACTCACCTCTTCCTTTGATGTTTCCGAGTCGAGCTGCAGTGTGAGGTACATAACGATATGAGGAGTGTTTAGAATATTCTGCTGGATACCTTCCACCTCTTCTCCCCACAGAAGTTTCACTAAATCACTTGTGTTGGACGGTGCCTTTTTCTGTCTGGGTTCAGTTGTTTCCTTTTTCACAGCATGTGCATTTTCAAATGTCAGTTTTACCTTTAAAAATTAAAACAACGTGTTGATTTTCAACAATGGAAAATCAGCTACAGTTTTCACAAAGAAGGATCTGTACACACACTCATGTACACTCAGGTATACACAGTGCATAAAACCATCCTAGAGTGTGGATTCCTTGATGGCAGGGACTGTGTATTCTGTTTATGTTTGTTCCTCCTGCTTATAGCCCAATGGCTGGGCCATATTATTATAGATATTTATTGAGTAAGAATGTATAGTTCTCTATACAAAAATTCATTTATTTAAACTTAATCACTGTATTCTAAGTATTGACAACAAAACCAAGAAATGCCACAGAAAACAAAAATTAGTATGATCTGTTGTGTAACAGAGAGTTACATTACACTATGAACACTGATAGCACGGACTCATCTGGGGAAAGTAAAAAGAGATTCAGGATTAAAAGCGACCTCATACAAACAGAGTTAGCTCTCCTTTCAAGTGAGCCGATATTCAAATATTCTTATTTTAGACATTCTTTGTGGTCCTTTAAAATAAAGGGTAAGGAGAACAAAAAATTATCAACGTGCCATATCTTGGACCATGGCCCTAGGAAGATTATCATCAAGATAGTTTTAATTCTGTGGCCCGATGTCAAACAAGATTGGTAAGAGTCCAGAGCATGGCCATCTTCCAGTTATTGAGAGGTAGCTTCCACTCCTCAATTACCTTTCCTTGAAAAAGGAGATGTTTCTAGACGCCAGTTGGCCAAAGACAACTTGCTCATTTCCAAGAAGCACCAGGGCGTATCTTGACTAAAAGAAGCTTTCACTAAATACAGTAATTTTGTGTAGCAAGGACATCATCATAAGATATATGGGCACAAAGTATTCCTAATGTTTAAAATCTTATCAGAATACAGATGAGTAAAATGGGACATTCTAACCATAGTAATCCACAAAATTTTAAATTTGAACACTAAAGTTCAATGTCTCTTTTAAAACTAGATTAAATTTTAAAAGCCAAAAAATAAATTCATGCTTGATCAAGAATAAAGAAAGTTTGGGGCCAGCCGCGGTGGCCTAATGCTTAAGTTCAGCACGTTCTGCTTTGGCAGCCTGGGTTTGCTTTCCAGATGCAGACCTATACCACGTGTCTGTCAGTGGCCATGCTGTGGTGGTAACTCACATACAAAAAGAGGAAGAGTGGCAGTGGTTGTTAGCCCAGGGCAAATCTTCCTCAGCAAAATAAGTAAGTAAATAAATAAAAAGAAGTTTGGTCAATATATGTATATTAAATCATCACGTTTTACACTTTAAAAAAAAATCACATTGTACAACCTAAATATATACAATTTCTATTTGTAAATCATACCTCAATAAAGCTGAGGAAAAAGAAGACGTCTAGTCAATATTTAAAAGCAGATAAAGTTGTTTGTATGCAGTTAAGTTGCATTTGGGGGAAATATTTAAAAATTATTATCAAGACAGTAATAATCCCTATTTTTAATAATATATAACAAAAGGTACCATTTTCAAGGCCAACTTTAAATATGTGATAAATATTAACTCATTACAGTCACTTTTTAAAAATGAGCTTTACGGGGCTGGCCCCGTGACCGAGTGGTTAAGTTCCGGCGCTCCGCTGGAGGCGGCCCAGTGTTTTGTCAGTTCGAATCCTGGGCGCGGACATGGCACTGCTCATCAAGCCGTGCTGAGACAGCGTCCCACATGCCACAACTAGAAGGACCCACAACTAAGAATATACAACTATGTACCGGGGGGCTTTGGGGAGAAAAAGGAAAAAAAAAAGAGCTTTAAATAAATATTTATATAGTTTTATATTTTTAACAAAAATGTTAAGCATATTATTTTTAAACATTCATTCATAATCCCACCAACCTATCCAAGTGTTGTTAGTATTATACTGTAAAATAAATCTGTCCTGATGAATAAAATCTTCCAAAAGAAAAATATCTAGATAGCTTCTTTTTTGTTGACAAGGAGTGACTATTTATGGCTTTTTTTCAATTTTGCTTATCTGTAGTTGTCTGTGGTATTTCAGGACCACTAAGCTATCTTTGTCCACATAAAGTGAATTAAGTTAAATAAACATCTTTTCTGAAATAAGCCTCAGATTTTATTTTATTTTATTGACAAGTAGAAGAGAAGAGACGTAAGGTCTAAATTCATCAATACGTATACGTTCAAAGTAAAGATGAACTAGGCCACAACCGGCAGTAATCTGTAGAGAGAGTAGAAGGGGAGAAGTCCCCCATGAAATTTTTCTGAGGCCTGATGATCATGTTTCTTTACAAAAAATTTAGTATCGTTCCGAATGGAAAAGTTCAACCTTTACTAAATTTTTTATGTTTTCTATAAACCTGATGTTGAAAATGGGCCCTTGGTATTAGAACACTGTATCAAAAAAGGCTGAGTATAACATTAGTATACGTGGGGGGGACATATTAAGCAAACTAAATAAAAATATAAAAAATTAGAGCTCCTATATGGGAAGAATCAAGAGTTATCCAACGAAATTAATGTAAGATTAAAGTGAAGAAGAGCTGAAGAGACACTGTTTTAGAAATGATCTTAGAAGGATGTGAAAAAGAGTATTTGGTGTGAGGTTTTGACCCAAACAAGCAACATGTAAGCATTATATGGCTTGAAAGACTACGTTCTGAGGGTGGCATCTGTTCTAATGGGTAATGCTCAACATATGTACACATAAACATAAACATGAGCATAAATACATAGATCCTTGAACAAGGATTTGATGAAGTGAGTGGCTTGGTGGTCAGGGGGTTCTTTTATCTGGGAACGAGGATTTAGGAGTGTCTAAAAGAAAATATATGGGAGCCTTTGGTGGTGTTCCTCAGAAATGTGAGAAATCCTCAGAGTTTGGGGGAAATCTGGAGCGCAGACTTTGTGACAGGACAGATGGGAGCTTTGAAGACTGACCCCAGCACCTGGCTTTGGGGAGGAGCTAGGTATATAAGGGAGTGGAGGGGGATAAATCTGATTGTGGGGAGCACAAGATGAGTGACATCAGAGGGAGCAGATGTCACAGAGACAGGCTGGGTCTGCTGGAGTGTCTGTGGGAGCTGTGCACACCAGCGGTGAACAAGGAGAAAGATGGGTCCTCAGAGAAAGAAACGTGCCCCAGAACAGGGAGAGCGTCTTCTCCAGCTGAGATTCTTGGGGGTGGAGAAGTCAAAAGATAGGGTGTGACCCACCAAAAATGACAAAAGGAAATGAGTGGGTAGACTTAAAATAAAAATTCACTAATTTTACTTTAGGCAGCAACAACCTAAAATTTAAGACTGGTTTGCTATGCTTAGTGAAAAACGACATACTAACTTTAATGTTATACTTGGCAAGCAATAGCACTTCTTTCTGTGGTGCAAGGACCTTTTCCCGTCACCATGACAAAAACTCAAACCAATACACACACCACAGAACCATCCATTAAAATTCTTTAGAGAACTATTTTAGCCGCCATTCTTCTAAATTAAGTAAAGTTGGCTCCATAATGCAAAGATAATCACATTTTAGCAGGACACTTTGAAAAGCTTACATGTTAAGTAGCTACAAATATCAGAAGATCTGGTTATCTTGATAAAATGATAGAGGGTGAGACAGATAACCAAATTAAGAATTGAGTGCTATTTTTAAAATAGGGGTTGACATAAGCAAATATTAAGGATATTACATGTTTTATAGGAAAAAAATTTTATCAAGAAACATCTAATATAAGATAGGTTACATAAAGCTTTTTATAAAAAGGGGTTTTTATTTTTCCTCCATGGATATTAACCTGTGACACGTTCATCATCCCTCATCTCCTGTCTTCCTGGAAACATTTTCTTATTTGTGCAATTTGCTCATCTTTTCCTCCTTCCTCCCAGTTCAGAAGATAATATGCTTTTCCTCAGGTCCGAGGAAACGCATGCTATTAACTAGTCACTTCCAAAATCTTGTTGCTTTTTTTTTTTTGAGAAAGATTAGCCCTGAGCTAACAACTGCTGCCAATTCTCCTCTTTTTTGCTGAGGAAGACTGGCCCTGAGCTAACATCCCTGCCCATCTTCCTCTACTTTATATGTGGGATGCCTACCACAGCATGGCTTGCCAAGCGGTGCCATGTCCGCACCAGGGATCCAAACTGGCGAACTCTAGGCTGCTGAAGTGGAACGTGTGCACTTAACCACTGTGCCACCCAGCCGTCCCCTCTTGTTGCTTTAATTACTCCCTCTCTCTACTTCTATTTTCACTTCATCCCATTTAACAAACAATGTCTCTTCAGCCTCTGCCACCCAAACAAATTCTCTCCCTCCCCCATTATTACCATGCCATCCTCTTCACACAGTGGGACGCCCCGGGAGGCTGTCAGAATCTGAAGAAGCTCCAGAGGCTGACCAGTCTCTCACCTCTGCCTCACAGTCTGCTCTGTCTCTCTTGCATCTTTTCTACTCTGCGTGTCTGATCCTTTCTCCTTCGGCTGGCAGATGCTTTGAATATTCCTTAGTCAAAATTCTGAAGGAATGGAGTCTGCTTGGCTCAGCAAATTCTCTCTCCTTGGTCCTCTTCTCTTTTGGGCAATCTCACTGAATTGTTCAAGATGAATAATAATTCTTCAAGATGCCATCTTGGACTCCTCTCTCTCCTGCAGGAAGTACTGTCCTCTTCGCTTCCTACACACCTTAATTCTAACCTGCTCCTTCTCCTGCACACCCACAGCCAATGCCTTTGTCCAGGCCTTTATCACCCCTCTTCTAGGTTACCGTAAAGCTGACCACTTGGTTCCCCAAGCTCCAGTCCCATCTAGAGTGATATATTTCTAAAATGCAAATCTGATCACATCTGTCCTCCACTTTTAAATATTGACATAGATGGTTACTTCTGGGTTCTGAGAATAGAAGACTCACAAATACTTTTTTAAAATTTTGCCAGTCTAATTCCTAATCTTCCCCCAATATATATGAGTATCACTTTTGAGTAACAAGGAAACAAAAGTTAAAACATTTCACTCAAGTATCACCTCCTCTGAGAAGCCTTTCCCCCTTTCTTAAGCCTAAGGAGTACTTGACAGGTAAGAGTTCAAGACAAATGTTCTGCAGGCTGAACTAGAAAAAGAGACGGCTTCCTCCGAAGCTTCAGGAAACCAGTTACCGCCCAGTGCTTAATGCAATCAATCCTAGTCAACTGCAAAGTAAACCCAAGCTCCCTGATCAAGCCAGGAGAAGTGATGGTGAACTATGCACACAATTATGTGCTTGCTGATAAATGAATGCATAGAGCTGTGGCAACAGATCAAGATCACAGAAGTCAGTCGTTAGAAGAGTACCTGCACCCTTGCTCCTGTCATTTTAAATTTCTAAAACCTCTTTTTTTTAAACTCGCAACTTCTTATTTTAAAAATTTCAAACCTACAGAAAAGTTGCAAGAATGGTACAATAATTACTTGTATTTTCCTCACCCAGTTTCACCAATTGTTAACATTTTGCCACATATGCTTCCTCCCTCCCTCCCCTGTCTTATGCCCCTCTCCTTCCATTCTCACCTTCTCTGTCTATGGACTTAAAAATATTTTTGGCTGAATTACTTGGGAATTATTTGCAGACATTTTAACGCTTCATCGCTAGTACTTCAGCATATATCTCCTAAGGGTAAGGGCGTCCTCCTACACAATCACAATATAATTATCATACTTAGGCATTTTAATATTAAATATAATACTATCATCTAATAAAGCCCAGATCCAAATTTCGCTATTGTCCTGATATAGCTGTTCCCCACTGCAATCTAGGATCAATTAAAGATTAGCCACTGGGGCTGGCCCCGTGGCCGAGTGGTTAAGTTCGCGCGCTCCGCTGCAGGCGGCCCAGTGTTTCGTTGGTTCGAATCCTGGCGCGGACATGGCATTGCTCATCGGGCCACGCTGAGGCTGCGTCCCACATGCCACAACTAGAAGGACCCACAATGAAGAATATACAACAATGTACTGGGGGTCTTTGGGGAGAAAAAGGAAAAAAATAAAATCTTTAAAAAAAAAAAAAAGATTAGCTACTGTGTTCAGCGGTAGGTTACCTTAGTCGGCCCTGGTCTAGCACAGCTCTCCAGTCTTTTTTCTTTCATGATATTAACATTTTCAAAGAATCTAAGTCAACTGTTTTGCAGAATGTTAAAACCTGGCTTTAAAAGAAATGATTTGGGCTTTTGTACCTCATCTAGCACAAGGCTTCACCTCTGGATTGCATTCTGGTATTCTAAATTTATCTATAATGGAACTTATCTAAAAATCAAATAGAGAACTGTAGAGTTGGAATTGGGTTTAGAGATTTATTCCCTCAAATCCCCTTAGATTATAGATGAGGAAACTGAAACCCAGAAGAATTTAGAAACTTGCTCAGGGTGAGCTTTAAATGGAGATGAGACCTCTGTCTCCTCAGAGACCTTTCTACCTCATTATACTCTCTCCGAGGCCATCTTCTGCTGGATGACATGAAACTTTCAGACCATTTTTATACTCTGAGAATAAGTTTAAAATGTTACTGCTAGATATTTCCAGATTTAAACATGAAAAAGTCTCCTACGGTATTCTTTATAAATCAGCAGTCCTCTTCTCTTATTGTTTGAATGACTGTTTCAAATGCCACAGACACAGACCAGGTGAAAAGACTTTTTCTGGGACAAATCCGCCTCAGTTAGCTCTGGCCCAGAAAGAACAAAGATCCACCAAGATTGTGTGAGAAGCGGAAGCATCATGCCCAGGAATGATCAGTTCCAGTTCACTGAGTTATTAATTCTGCATCCTTGGACAAATCATTAAATCTCCCAGATTTTTTTCCTTCATGTATAAAATAGGAATGCAAATTCTTGGAGTCTAATGGACTGATATAAAGAACAAATGAAATTATTAAAGGAAATGGGATTAGCAAAGCATCAACATACTACCTGGTACACACAAACACTAGTTCTCTTCCCAGTTCTACTGGTGGTGAAAAATTTACAGTTTATCCCACCTTTCCACACTAATGATGTAAGAAAATTGTGGTTTACTAATCAAACATGATTTCCAGTTAAAGGAATTGTAGCTATTTTCTAAATCATTATTAAGATATGTTACCATACATGCCGGTGCTTGCTTTTGAATAAGACACAGCTATGATACCAATTCTGCTAGTAAAACAAACAAACGCATACATGTTTACACACGGGGGGAAAACCACAAGGAAATATTCCAAATGCTAACAATAAATATCTTCAGGTGGTGGAGTCTTAAGAGATTCTGTCCCCTTTTTCGTATGTTCCAAAATTTCTACAATGAACATGTATCACTTTCACAATAAGGGAAAAAAGTTAATTTTCTTAAATAATAAAAAGATTTTAATAATGTATGTTTTATGAAGGGATTATATTCTCAAATTGTATATAGTCAAAATCTCCTTGAAATTACATCAGGAATGGAAGGCCATGCTGGAGTACAACATGTTCTCTCAATATGATAAATCTGACTAATAACAGTCAGTTTTTCTTCCATCTTTAAAACAAACTGCTGTTTCCTCATTTTGGCAAAAGACGTATGTATTGGCACTTAAAAGCCACGTTATATAAAACATATATGTTTAAACACAGAACCTCATTAACGCAGCAAGATGCTCATGCTATAAAGGCAAACTGCGGAAACAGCAGATACACAACTCATTTCATGCTTAAAAAGGACATGCAAATAGTGAGCAAATTGGTCCAAAATATTTAAATCACTATTTCTCTTCCTTTTTTGCCTGCGGAGTGTGCACAGCTGAATTTGCAAATGTTAATTAAACATAAGTATAATGTGACTCCACTGTAAATAAAATTTTTCTTTTGTTGAAGGCAGAGGAGATGTGGTTGAACTCTGGCAATACTGGCAGAACACCTGCAACCGACATAGGCAAGGAAGGATGAGCCCTCGATCAGGGCTGACAAGCAACCAGTTTACTTGGGTGAACCTTTTCGCTTGTTAAAATACTGTAATTCTCTGTTACTGATTGGTAAGTAGCTGCTATCTGAGCCCCCTGAGGTGCCCCAGTACCTTGGACCAACCCAGGACCTCCCTACATCTAGCAACTGAAGTGGATAACACACACTCTATTCCAGCACTATGCCTGGGGTCTGCCTCATTGTTAATATTTTGAACAGCACTCCATCTCCATCTCTATCTCTATCCATTCCCAGGAATTGCTGGTCACTGGCTACCATAGTTATTTCAGCACTTTCACTTAACATTTCCAAAGATAGCTAAATTTACAGAGCGTGTGTGTGTGTGTGTGTGTGTGCGCGCGCGCGCACGTGTGTGTGTGTGTGTGTGTGTGTGTTTTAAGGGAAGGCAGTGAGCATAACGGAAATCCTATTTCTTAGAAAACAAGGAATTTCATCATGGGTCCTATTACTTCAGAATCTCCGATCAGATGCAGGTAAGATTCTGATTTGTCAGGGATTCTGTTCTTCTGATCAATCCAAAAACTGCTTCATCCTCTCACTGCCTGATGGAATCTCTCATCTCTCTAAAGCGTGTCATCCTCCCTCTGCCTCAAAACAGACAAAGCCAAATTCAAATGCTAACAAGAGTGGAACGTTCATAAATAGGAGGTATAGCACTTCTAAAATACATCTAATGACCTAAAAATGTCATCTCTGATATAAAATGTCAATGTCAATAAAACGTCAAAAGTTTCAAAGTAACTTTTTACGAAAGAGATTTATTTTTACCCGCAAAGAATGAAAAATAATTCATTAAGTAGCTAACCAAAAGCTCAGGAATAAGGCTAGACCAGCTAACAGAAAAATCAAGAAAACAGTATAATTATTTTTAAAATCAACAAAACTACTTTAAAAAAAACTTTATGGCAGTAATGATTTTAATAAGTCAGAGAACAGAAACTTCCATGACTGTTTAAAATGACTTTTCCAGGAACTGGATTTTCATCAGCACATACAGTAGTTATAAGGGCAAGTTGGTCATTATATGTTTTCATTATTGTTCATGTTCCTGCTTTACTTAGGATGAGTTTTACTTGTAGATACTTCTCTCTCTTTTTAGAACAATCTCCAAAAGTTAAAAATGTTAACAAGATCTAAAATTTTTTAAATACCCAAGTGCGTTAAGTATGACTCACTCAGAATCTTAAAAAAATAATACAATTCGTCATAAAACCCAGAAAAAGAACGTTCATACCTGCATAGGTCCAGGGATGCAAGACAGAACTCTCTCTATGTTCTCAGAGGTCACGTCAACATCGTTCACAGCAACAAGGACATCACCTGAAAACAGAATAACAATAAAAGATATTTGCGTGAATATCCCAAAACCAAAAAGATCTAGAATTGAAACATTAAAAAGCATCTATTCGGAACTCTTCAAAGTACAATGGAAAAGGTGCTACAGACAATCAGGGACTTGTCCAAGGTCATAAAGCTCATTAGCGGCAGAGCTAATCTCCCACTCCACTCTTTCTTAAACTATAATATAGCCCAACATTGCACCACAACTAAATGCAACCTATGAATGTTTAAAGAGTGGATATTCTCATTTTTGATACAACTGGAGAATTATATAAACCCAAAGAACAAATGGAAAATTTGTAGCATAAACCAACTACTGTGCTTAACAAAAGTGACTAACTACTTGGATCCACAGCAAAAAAGATTTAGCTGCAATTTTCACTAAATCCATGTGATGCATCATATCTCAATATGCTTTGGTCTTCACTGTTACTATTGATCTGTGTCTACACACAGCTCTTTGTTTCACAGGCTCCACCATATCAAAATACATAGTATATTTTGATAAAAATTCCCTCCATGCTTTTTTTTTAAATAGGTACACTTATCAAATTTGGTGGCTTTGATAAAATAAAGATCAGCGTTAAAATGGAAATTTACTTTTACAACATAAAGATAATATCAAAATATCAGTGAGCTATATTAATAGAACTATATACCTACCAAGGTTATTTTTTTCTCATCATTCCTAAATATATCACTAGGAAATTGATCAAATAATTCATATTCATCTATTCATTAATTCACCCAACAAATATTTATTGAGCACCTACTGTATGCCAGGCACTGTTCTAGGCACTGCAGATCAAGACTTGAACAAAATAAAAATCTCTACTCACATGGAGCTTAATCATCTTTGGAGAAGTTGAATAATAAACATGTACATAGATAAAATGATGTTGGTAGACAATTCTCCATCAGTCTCTCACGTTTTTGTATATCTTGCAAACCAAAGCACTGAAAGTCTTTATTCTGGATTATCTGTATAATCCAGAAAGTCTTATTCTGGATTATACAAAGGATGTTTGTATAGTAAACAGCCTAGGACAATAGAGATAGTGTCTTCCTCCAGAGCAAAGGTCAAGTTTGTTTAATGTACAGTATAATGAACATAGTGTCTCCCTCTATATCTTATTAATAATTGTTATTTATAAAAGATTCATGTTCCCTAAACTCAAAGTTCCTCTCCTTTAATGCAACCTACTATGTGTTTAGTTGTCACCTGGCCCTCCTCATGTTGCCCTGTGGGAATGAGGGTTGGGGAACAGGTCAAAATGCTGTTACCTTAGTTAGCGCTATTCCTCTCCTCCCTCTCTCCCTTCCTTCCTTGTCCTCCTTGATATTCTTTCAGATGGAGAATGGGTTAAGCGCAGAGTGAACAGGAAGAGTTTCTTAGGCCATCCCCATGAAGGTTTACAATGGCCTGTACTAGGTTCAGATGCTCAAGAGATGCTATTTAGTTGAGAGTTCTGCAGGTGTGGCCATGTCGCCACCGAGTCATTATGATGGTCAACGACTGCAGCACTTTGAGCAACCTGGTAACTTTTCTTTTCTTTTTTCTAATGCTTTTTAAACAAATTCATTCATTCATTCATTCATTAAATTTTTTTTGAAGAAGATTAGCCCTGAGCTAACATCTGCTGCCAATCCTCCTCTTTTTGCTGAGGAAGACTAGCCCTGAGCTAACATCCGTGCCCATCTTCCTCTACTTTATATGTGGGACACCTACCACAGCATGGTGTGCCAAGCGGTGCCATGTCCGCACCCAGGATCCAAACTGGCGAACCCCGGGCCGCTGAAGCAGAATGTGTGCACTTAACTGCTGTGCCATTGGGCCAGCCCCTGGTAACTTTTCTTAAAAAGAAGAACTTGAAAGCTGAAGTAAACTTCCAACTTTAGTTCAATATGGAAAAAAAAAGCACCATATCCTATTAATTCTTTTTAAATAAGAGATTAAGCAAGTGTACTGTACCAAATTATTTATAGCTGTAGGGATTTAAAAAGGAAAAGTAAAGGAAGAATGAACACAATATATGAGTATTAATGTAAAACAAAACCACTTCTGGACCATTCTATCCATTGTTTGTGTAGCCAATAGATTATGCTATCCTCAGGACACCTAAACAGTCATGTGCCAAATAATGACATTTCGGTCAAGGATGGACCTAGATATATGACAGTGGTCCCATAAGATTATTCCCGTACTGCCTAGTTGTATAGCAGGCTGTACTATCTAGGTTTGTGCAAGTACACTCTATGATGTTAGCACAAGGATGAAATTGCCTAATGACATGTTTCTCAGAACACATCCTCATTGTTAAGCAACACATGACTACAGTTCTGTGGCCGAGTGTCTCACGGAGTACCACCTGAGAGCACCATGTGCAACAAACCTCTAAAAGTAGGAGACATGTATCATCATAAAAGATACGAAAATAAATTTTAGAGCAAGTGCAGTAGTATTCATAATATTTTTAAATGTTTAGTAGAAAATTTTCTCTTTCTATCAAAGAAGTGTTACATCCATTTCTCATTCTCCCAGATATTTCTTTTCCTCACGTTTTTCTGAACACCTCTGTGAAGTGACTCAGAGATGGTCGGCTTCCTGGACATCACATCAGCGCAGTGGGCAGCCTGCACTCCAGGAATGATCTTTCTCAGCTTTCTCAATGGGAGTCATTAGTATGCACTGTCCCATTTCAAAGGCTGAAAGGCAAGGAACTGCATGAAGTGGTTTGAATCGTTAAATAAGAAATGGTCTGGGGATTACTGATGGGCAGAAATAAGTGGGAAATTCTATCAAGAGATACCTTCAAGAATCAAAACACAGAGAGGTGAGATCAGTTTATCAATTTCTCAATGTAAAAAAGTTAGTTACTTGATAAAACATCAATTTCTCAGCATCTACTTAATATCAAACAACAAACGTAAACTAAAGGGCTACTATCTAAGGCACCAAGGGCTATGAAAATATATACACAAAAGGCTGTTTACTGCTGTACTTATACCGTATACAAAATGAATATGCAGTTTAAGAAATTACTTTGAAACAAAATTATTACACATAAATGCAAGAAGAAAGGATACATATCAAAATGCTGCCTTTAGGTATGTGGGCTTTTTCTTTTTTCTGCTTAACTACATTTTCTAAACTGTCCACAATAAACATACACTATTACTATTGAAAGAGAAAAAAAAATCGAAACTCCTATTTCATCCAAAAAACCCCCCACAGTGGTTGGCAGAATAACTGTCCTCCAAAGACGTTCACATCCTCATCTCTGAAATCTGTGTACATGTCACCTTACATGGCAAAAGGGACTTTGCAGATAGAATTAAGGATTTTGAGGTTGGGAGATTATCCAAACGAGCCCAAAGTAATCACAAGGGTCTTTATAGGAGGGAGGCAGGAGGGTCAGTCAGAGAGAGACTTGAAGATGCTACGCTGCTGGCTTTGAAGATGGAAGAAAGGACAAGCGAGGCAAGGAAAGCAGGCAGCCTGGAGAAGCTGGCCAAGGAAAGGTATTTTCCCCTGGAGCCTCCATAAGGAATGCAGCCCTGTGGACAGTGATTTTAGGGCAGGAAGAAACATGTTAGACTTCTGACTTTCAGAACTACAAGATGACAAATTTGTGTTGTTTTAAACCTTTACGTTTGAGGTAATTTTGTCACAGCAGCAAGAGAAAATGAATACGCTCACCTAACAATACAAAGCAATCTTGGCTAAGCACCAAACAAAGAGTCAGGGACCGTGAAAACCAAAGAACAGAGATGGATATACGAGGTACACTTGGAGGTCACTGGGGAAAAAAATTAATCAGTCTTGTTAGCAGGGGCTGTTTACACAGAGAAGGACTGGGGAATATGAATGGGACAGCCAGGTGGGATCAGACTGAACTTAAATTGATCATTTAAATTAAGCCCAATTTGACTTTGGGAGGAGAGAATTTGGTTTTAGAAACACAGTCACCATACTCCCATTTTATACATTCAAGTTAATGCAATGACTCTCAATGCATTTACTGATAAATTCCTAAGTTTTCAGAGAATGAATTTTACTGGGGTTTTTTTTTTTGAGCTTCAATATCAATCCCTCATCTATAATACGCAGGCACTGAACTAGAGAAAATTCAGGTCCCTCCCAACCTGCCATTCTAGAAGTCCCTGAATAATGGTAGCTCATGTATTATAACTATCATACAGAATACTTGATGAAGTAAAATACCACATTCCCTGATGATGCTGGATGAGACACTAGCGCGAGGTTTTTATTTCTCATTAAAATAGAAAATACTACTATGGAATGTTGGAAAAATTATCTATGACCCCAACACTATACCCATGAAATTTCTGCAAATAATTTCTCGTCTTTACCTATGTTCACACAAAGGAGGTATCAAGGATTTTATCCTTTTAAACCTCTCAAATAATAAGAATTTTCATGCTGCTACATAATTTTTAGAATTATAATTTTAATAGTTGAGTAACATAAATTTGTTAAATCATAATTCGAATACCCATACCCTTGTTGACACTTTCATGCTTTTTATTTTTTATTATTACTAAAAAATGTTTCACTAAACAATTTCATGCAGTTTTTCCTCCTTTTACATCTGGGGTCAGCAAGCTTTTTCTGTAAAGGGTCAGATAAGTAAATATTTTAGGCTCTGCGGGCCATATGGTCTCTGTCACAACTGTTCAACTCTGCCTCTGTAGCTGGAAAGCAGCAATAGACAATAAACAAATCCATGTGGCTGTGTTCCAATAAAATTTTATTTATGGACACCGATATACTTGAATTTCGTATCATTCCCATATGTCATAAAATATTATTCTTTTGATTTTTTTTTTTACCACTGAAAAAGGTAAAAGACATTCTGTTTGCAGACTATACAAAAACACGTGGTGGGCCTGATGTGAGCTGCTGGCTGTGGTATGCAGATTTGTTTTAGATTCTTTCTTTAGGATAAACGTCTCAAAATGGATTAACTGGGTTAAACGGTACACTGTTGTAGCTTAATAGTTATTTCCAAATTACATTTTGAAAGGATTAAATAATTTCTTTTGTTTTTGCTTCAAAGAGAAATCCTTTGGCACTTTCCCCAACCCATTCAAATGAGCAACCCAGCAAGTGAGAAAGCTCTCTGAATGGAAATCACAAGCATGGGTCTCAGTTTTATCACTCACTGGCTGTCTGTGGGGTAAATCATGTAATCCTCTTGGTGGTTATCTGTAGAAGGAAGTAACTGCATCAGAATCTCTCCAGAAAGGCCAAAACACCCTAAAATTCTCCTTCCAATGAACTCCCTGCTTTACTTTCTTTGCTTTACTACTGGGTCAAGTACTGCAGCTAAAAATGTGGGAAAGAGATGATGGGAGAGAAGAGAGACAGACAGCAGAGTTACTTTCATGAAGAAAACTGAAATGCTACAAGTATTACAGAAGGTGAAAATAAAAACGCATACTAAATAACAACATGAAGAATATTAGAGAACAAAACCACAGCTTAGGTGTTCATAAAAACCAATCTATCTTTTTAAGAAAGTACTGCAAATATTTTAACTGGAAACAACCAAAATGTCAATCAACAGCAGAATGGAAAAATAAATAGTATATATTCATACTTTAGAATTCTACATAGTCACAACATGGATATTTCTCAAAGATTATAAGCTAAAGAAAATAGACACAGGAGAATAAACAGCATATACTTCCATTTATATGAAGTTCAAGAAAAGGCAAAATCAACTCTGTTGGTAGGAAATGTGTGTCTTTTAGAAGATTAACTTTGGGAGAGAAAATTGACTGAGAGGAAGAGCCTTCTGGGTACCAGAAATGTTCTATATTGTTACTTGGGTGGTAGTTACACAGGTATATACATATGTCAAAATTCTTTGAATGTAAACTTAAGATTTGTGCATGTTATTAAAAAGACTCAATTAAAAAGACTTTTAAAGGTAGACAAAAAAAAAAACTTCAAAAAATTTAGAGAGAAACTTACCACGAGTGTGTAGAAAACAAATCAATTTAGCGATCACAGGTGAAAACATTAGAAGTTCTACAAAAAGAGCTTGAAATAAAAACTGTTTTATTCTTCAGCGGAAACGGTCCACAGGGATATACATGACTAGAACATTAATGTGTGATTTCTCTAACCCTGTCCTTTCCAATACTTAAAAAAACAAACAGTTAAAATGACCAAAAATAAGTAATCTTGAAATAAAATCACCCAGGTGATATGCAGTTTTTTAAGATGGAGATAAAAGGAGGACTTTCATTTGCTCTGGTCTGAGGATGGGGGCCGACTGCAGGTAGTCAAGGAGCTATGAGCTGACTCTCAAGCTTTAGGAAAAACTCAGAAACAGAAATATACAAAATAAAGATGCAAGTCCTTAGCAGCAGGAACAGCAAAAATGGCAGCAAAAAGGGCAGCAAAACCCCCACGACTCCAGCAAAGAAGAATCAGAATAGAATAGAATTCTGCTGTCTTGGAAAGAAAGAAGGAAAAGTGTCACCAGGCTTACTGTGCTGGCCAAGGCACGTTAGTCAAAGAAGGGTCATTCTCCAGCTAAACAATGGCAGAAGTCACCCCTAGCAAATGGCATGCATCACCAAGACAAAGTTTTCACGATCCTCCTTCCTACGGGGCTGCCTCACAGTTCAACCACAGACTGCGGTGTGAAACCAACTATGAAAGAAACAAGTGATAAACTTCCATCACAGAAGCACCCCGAGGGCTTAGCAAACCCACTATGACATTAAAATAGTCCACTCTTTACTCTCAAAGTACATAATTTAAAAAATACAGAATATAATCATAAAATACAAAATTAGAAAAAGTAGAGAAAACAATCACTCATGTCTCCACACTAACCCAACACTATTAGCATTTTGCTGTATTTATATTTACTTCTCTTTTTAAAATTTACCTCTAATTGTTTTCCCTGTACATAATCTTTTTACATGGTTTATACATTTATTCAATAAATGTTTTTTGAGGGCTTATTACGAAACAAGCATTTTGCTATGCACCAAGGATGAAACAATCATTTTATTCTGACAAATCCTTTTTTTTACTTATTAGTAAATTATAAACTTTTTCATTATAAAATCGAAATCATAAGCCTGATTTTTCTAACTTTTTATTGCTATTTAACACACGCATAAAAGTGCACAAATGGTAGGGCTCCAATGCAATGAATTATCATAAAGTGAACACACCCATGTTACCACACTCGGGTCAAAAAGTAGACTACTAGCATCTGGTATATCTTTAAATTATTTTAAAGATAAACAGTAGGACCACTACGGTAGTCTCTTCCTCTCTATTGTTTATTCTCTTTCCTCCCATACACATCGTGCACAAAGATCAAGCCTAGAGGTAAGCAGCATTCCTAGAAAGTTCAGCAGAATGGAGTGAGGAACCGGGAAAGGAAATATGGAATAAGAGGCTCATTGGCCATTACCACCTTTTCACTAGGTTTCAAGAGAAAAAGCTAAAAAGGATTTTAGAGGTTTGTCTATAACGCATTCTAAGCAGAGGCCCCAGGTAACTATAAAGAGGATGCATTAGCTGGAGTTTCCCATCACTGGGATCCTAAAGTTATGGTGGTGGGCAATGATCAGGGAGGAATTCTGGCTTCCTTTGACAGAAATAAAAGAACAAACCTTTGAGATATTTTAGTCCACTCCTGTCATTTCACAAAAAAGAAAGCTGAGGACCTGAGAGACTATAAATATGCATTAGCTTCTGTTCCAGCTATCTGTAGCTACATAAACGAATCACCCAAACAACTCAGTAGCTTAAAAAACCAACAATCATTTATTATCTCTCCCAGCTCTGGGGTTGACTGGGCTCAGCCAAGGTTCTCACTTGGGGTTCCTCATGTAGCTGCAGCCAGATGGTGGCTGGGGCTGGAGTTATCTGGAAGGCCTCTTCACTCACGTCTGGTGGCTGATGCTGGAGGGTGTCTGGGGCCACCTGCCAGACCACTTCTCATGGCCTCTTCATGTGGCCTGGCCTTCCTCACAGAACGGCCACTGGGTTCCAAGAGTACCAGGCAGAAGCTGCATCATCTTTTATGATCCCACCTCTTAAGTCACACAGTACCAGTTAAGCTGTAGTCACAGCCCACTCAGATTCAAAGAAGGGGGAGCCGGGACACAAAGACCACAACTCTCCATGGTGGGAGTATCAACATTACATTGTAAGAAGAGAATGTGGAGATCTTGTTGCAACCATTTGGAACACACACTTTGCACAGATGCTCTTCCTACTTGATTCCTCCTTGCAAACCCCTATCATGGCACTTATCACACCGTGTGAAGCTGTCTGCCTATTTCTGACCCACCTCTTCCACTATAGTATGAGCTCCTTAAGAGGAGTAATTGGATCATTAATCTTTGTATTCCTGGCACGTGGCAGATGCTCAAAAAAATTATTTGTTGAATCAATGAACAAATGGGATTCAGATTTAAAGTAAGAAATATTTTTAAGTTTCTAAAGTATCTATAAAACTTCCTTTATCTAATCTCCTAAACTGTCAGCTTTTAGAATTACTAATAACTTTTAAGCTTCATTAATAATATATTCTCACATTGGACTAACATGTTTAACTAATGAAGTTGCTACTAATTCAAGCATTACATCCAACATGTTTGATTAAAATGTATCAGCAAGACAAAATACATATATTCAGAATAACTTGTGGATTTATTTTTTCCCTCAAAATTGGTAGGATATTTTATGACAAGCACCCTTGAAAGGAAATTTATGTGTAACACCACTGCTGCTAAATATGCCAAATGAAACAGTTTAAAACCACTCCAAGAACTTAGTGTACTCAAGTGCAAACATACAATTTAAAAGTATTTTTATTCATAAATTACATATTTTTGTATTATGTTATTGGATATAGGTCCTTCAAACCTAAATTATCACTGTATAATCAACTCAGTTCTTTTTCTTGTCAGCAAATATAACCAAGATGAAATAAAATTATATAATTCAAAACTCGAAAATTAGTTAAGCTACTCCCTGGCCTAAACAAGGCAGACACATATTCAATGCACCAAAGAGCTTATTTTAAGAATACTGTGCCTTGCAGGAAACCATCCTTAACAATTTCACTACTGTTCCAAATATCACCAAGAAGTCCTTAATCTCTTGAGACTCTGGCTATAACTCTGTTTTCATCACGTCTCTGACAAGGCATCCTCAATCACGCTATCTCCACCAACAAGGACTGACGTTAGCCGGTAGTACTTACCAATGAGTATCTGACCACTCTTCATAGCAGACCCTCCCGGCAGCAGGCCGTGGACCACGAGCCTCTCTCCACCGCCCTGTCTTCCACTTCTTCTCCAGCTCCACTTGGTCTGATGGATAATCCCAACCAGTACCTCCAAAAGCTTGAGCTGCTCTTTAGCTTTGGTGACAGTTGGCTTTTTGGGGTTTACATAAACATTTATGTCTTTGTACCGCTGTTGGACGATGACTCCTGTTTTCTGATTGGACTGATGCTTTAGAATGGGCACTGGGCCACTGTTGCTGCTATTTTTTTTATTGTAGCGCTTGGGTAAAAGTCTTTTACTTTTTAAAATTTTGGTAAACCGCTTGAGTTTGGGTTCATACTTTCTTCCTTCTTTGTAGTCATCCTCTTCAATAATAATCTCATTTTCACTGAACCTGACGTGGTTCACAGTAGGCGTCTCAGGAAGGAGGCTCTCTTCTTCATCCTCACTCAATTCGAGGTAAAACAGCTCTCCATTTTTCTGCACACTGTCCAGCCATTCAGGCTCGAGGTCACTATGAAAAAGAGAAAAGAGTCTGAATAGCAGCCAAACATAAGAAAAACAGTTATGTCTTTCTGGCAGCGGAGTGAGGGTGGGGGCTGGGGTTCAGGGAGGTGGGAGCGGGTGAAAGTTCTCTGATTATTTCAGAGTCTCCTTGCTGCTTCTAATTTATTGTAAGCATCATTTCCTGTAGGATGCTTTTTGTAGAGCCTTGAAGAACTCGGAGGAGAAGGAATCAAGAAAGCTAGAGATAGAAAAGAAAATAAATAAAACAAAAGATGGCCCTGCTCTAGAATCTAATTTTTTTTTTCATTTAATTTAGCCCCATGTAATTATTGTTCACTTCAGACTTTTCACTGGACAATAATTCACATTAGTAGCCGATTATGCATTATATCCACAGATGTAAGCTATTTGGAAACTGTACATAAAAACATCCTATTTGCATAGAAATTATTCAACATGGCTGTCATGTTAAAACGAAAGCTAAAGCCTACTAGCATTAATAGACTTAGTTTATATAACAAATTTTCAAAAGAGAAACATTCACCTTGGCATGAACTAAAATCTTTGCTGAAAACAATCAGTTTATAACCACAGTTAATAATGATCACTTCTACAGCCTATAATTTCCGTAATACTCCTTTTTATGAATAATTGTAGTAGGAAAAGTAAACCACATATTACATAATTCACCATGTGATTGTAAAAAAACTTTTAACTGGGAAGTAGGCCATTGAAAAAAACAAAATCATTGCTATTAAAATGATTGAAACAGCCTTAAAAACAAAAATACTCATCTTAAGGTAACAAATGTAATCACAAGCTCTACCCTGTTTAATGTTATGAACAGTTTACCTTTCAAACTGCTATTATTTAAAGCAAAACTGGTTACAGTGGAAAAACTAACATTTGGAGAGAGTCTTTTCAGAAACATGAGCTGTAATATCCTGGCATGAAAGGGTATAATTTGTGTTCTAATCATTCAATCAGATAGAAGACATTTCTGTTTTCTGCAGTGTTCATTAGCAACCCTGGTTCTTTAAACTTAAAAGTCAAATGTTTCTATCTAAATTCTGTGAAAATTAATCCAAAAAATGCACTATTCTATTACTGAACTCTGAAACTAATCAACACCCTGGTCTGTGGTTGATAATTAATACAGAATTTTCAAATACATATAAATGGTTTAAAAAGAAAGGCATAACTAGCCCCAAATATCAAAACTATTATTTCTTTGGCACTTGTTGGCTCCCAGTGGGTGGCATCATTTTAGGCACTGAGCACCACTTACAGCAGGTTATTAATAATATACCACTTGTTTCAACCAGAACTACCTGTACTCACAGAAATCAGTATTCAAGAACCCTGCAGTTCTACTGTGGAGAGTCTAAACAACTGTGTCGCCACCATAAAAAATTTAGGTAATGACAACCTTAAAAAAAATAATTGACAAATTATAAAAGCAAAATTGAGGTTATTCAGGAATAGCGGAGGAATTGCAACTTAGGGCAAGCAAGCTATGGTGAATCATAGGCCAGTCGGAAGAGACAAAGAGAAGGTCAGCTGTTATTGGGTTTTAGGAGGAAACTGCAGAGAGTTGTTTTGGAAAAAAGTTTATTGGAGAAGAACAAGAGTGTGAGGCTGCGGTGATTTCCCAAGGGCTGCAAGCGGCGATCAGTGCGCTGCTGCTGGGCGGGGAGGGGTCTTCCTTCTTTTACTTAAAACCAGAAGATGAAGTTCCCAGGTGAAAAGATGTCCTCCTTTGTGGAGGGGTACTTGCATGAGTATACTCTCCTCAGGGCTTCCTGACTCCCTTTTAAATGAGGCTTCCTTTCTTCATTTTCATAACAACATGCACCATAATTTAAAATGGCACAATGTAAACACCATGATTATACACATTATTTACAAAGATATGCATCAATTTAAACAATGAATGAAATTTATTTGCTTTATAATCTCACCCTTTTAATCTGGCGTGTTATTAGAGATATGAGACTCCAAAGAAACATTTTTGCCCTCTGCTAAATATAAAGATGGTTCATCTCATTCTCTAAAATTTGAAGGTAAACCCAATTTTTGGTTATGATTTAAAGATTCATTCATGTTGGGGGCCATGGAGGGGCCATTCATTGGGGAGCAAATCAACAGTGCCAAGTACTGTGCTAAGTACTAGAATTACAATGATAAAAACATCGGTTCCATCCCTTGGAATGGGGGGAAGAGAAACTGAGAAAGAATTCATGGCAATACATATGGTAAGCACCAGAGAGGTCACCTAGCTTAGCCTGGGTAAAGGTGAGGTCAAGGGAGGCTTTCTGGTGGAGGAGACCCCAGAAGCGAGTTTTAAAAGAATAAGTGGCTGGAGAGGGGGCCTGGGGAGCTGAAGAGAAAGAGAAGAGAATTCCAAACAGAAGTAGCAGCATAAGCAAAGGCCTGAGGGACAGTCTCCACGACCTATGTCGACAACTAAAGCCAGTCTGCTGTTGCTACAGCATACTTCGTGAGGTGGTAAATGACTGAAATAGTCAAGTCTTAATTTTGCAAGGCCTTTTAGGCCATGGCAAAGAGTTTGGATTTTGTAGTGTAGGTAAGGGGGCATCAATGAAGAGTTTAGGTTACATGTCAGATATTCTTGGATAGATCTACTCTGACAAGAAAATGGAAGAAGGACTTGAAGTGGACAGGACTCAAGACAAGAGGCCAGTTAGGGGGCTGTTTCAGTGGTTAAGGCAAAGATGATAAGTAAGGCAATGGTAGAAGAAAGGAAAGTAGGAAAAACATTTGAGAGGTGCTTGAAAATCACCAGGATATTGAGATTGATTAGATGAGATGATGAGAGAGAGGAAGGAATTAATGTTGACTAGATTTCTAGTTGGTGACTGTACTTTATGCATCCTTTTATGTATACATATACACAGATTCATTTTACATAAATGGGAACATAACTACCATACATGTCATCTTCTGTTCCTACCTTTCACTGACATAAATCATGTTAAAAATCTATGTTCTTATAATCATATAAAAACATACATAGGGTTATTTTGTCACTGTTTTGGAAAATCACAGTGTGTGTGTGTGTGTGTGTGTGTATATATATATATATATATATATAGCTCATTTGGTCACTCACCTACTGATAAACTGCGTTCACTACTTTTTCACCCCTATAGACAACGATAGTTACCATCCTTATATGTATGTGTATATATGCATCTTCACCCAAAAGACTCTACCAATTCTACCAGCAATGAATGAGACCCATTTTCTTAACCTAGATTTAAAAAACACTTCACTTTAAGGGAAAGAAGAAATTTTTTTTAAAAAGAGGAAGAAATTAAAAGAAAGGAAAGACAGGAATAAAGATAGGAAATGAACATAAGAGACTCTGCAAAAGAAGGCGACATGGAAGAGAAAAGAAAATGAACCAAGAAGTCACAAAGACCTCGGTTCAAATTCTGTTCCATTGAGATTTTTACCTGTCTAAGCTTCAGTTTTCCTCTTCTAGAAAACAGATTATAGCTACCTCACAAAGCTGTTATCAACAGCAAATAAAATAATGTGCCTGGCATGGTGAATGCCAAATAAACGTCAGTTCCCTTCCTCTTGCCCCAGAGTCGAAACTGTAGAGAAACTTACACCTTTATTAGATACAGCTCTTGCACTTCTGCACTTTTCCAACCCCTGGAAATAAATGAAGATGTCTCCAATGACCTCTACTTGCTAGGTTCCAGGCTAAGTGCTGGTGACATTAGAAACAAAACTAGACGGTGCCATTAAGGTCCCCACAGTTCAGTATCGCCAGAAGTTTCCTTACTCCTACTCAAGTGATTGATTCCTATTTAGCTAAGCATCAAGAACATAGCTTATTAATGTGTTAGAAAGTTTAACAGAGTTGTAGACCGCACTCAAACTAGTTCTACAGAAGGAAGAGGGTGTATTAAAAACAACAACAAAACAAAACAAAACCCCAACCTTTCATTACAATTATTCATTAATAACAAAATTAAAGAAATTATATTATATGTAGATACTCCACACTCCAGGAGATGTAGCTTAACTTCTCCTCCCCTTGAGCGTGGACTGGACTTAGTGACATGCTTCCAGAGAACAGGGTATGGAAAGTGAAAAACAGTAACTTCACGGTGAAGAAACCTGGCAGAATTACCTTAACCAAGGGACTGAGGTTATGAGAAACAAGGAAGGACTGAGAAATGTCACAGACCAGAGGAGACTGAGAAGACCTGACGACTAAATGCAATGTGATATCCTGGATCCGGTCCTGGAACAGAAAAAGGGCATAAGTAAAGGAACGGTGAAATCCAAGTAAAGTCTGGAGTTTAGTGAACAGTACTGACGATGTTAATGTCTTGGTTCTGACGAATGTACCACAGTAAGATGTTAACATCAGGGGCTACTGGGTGAAGGATATATGGCAACTGTGTGTACTATCTTTGCAACTTATTATTCAAAAATAAGGTTTCTTTTAAAAAAGGAATTAAATCTAGCAGTTTTCATTCAGATTTTTGTAAGACATGGGTCACGTTAATCAGTATTAATATAAATATTTTTCATCTCTTCTCTGAGATCCCATGGTACAAGCTGCAAAGCTGTCCTTGTGTAAACGCCTTTCAGTGAGATTGTTTTGTTTACTCTACTTTGCTCTAAACAGGAATAACTGTACGTTCTGCTTGCAAAGTTTGAGGGCACTTTAATTGGTTTTTAAAGACCCTAACTGATGTGGTTAACATGAACAGTCATTCTTCCCAAAGAAAGACTTGCTAATTTTCAAATAAGCATGTTCGCTTACATATAACATATCATAACATAAATATGTTAAAGAAAATGAACTTCAGATAACGCCAATAAGTTTCTCAATTCCTGATGTATTCAAGAATTCTATGTTGATACTAAATCTTTTTTTTTCTTCTAAGTTATCAAACCTCTCAGGTCTTTATTTGCATTAATGTCAGCATTTTTCATCAACTGAAACAGTATCATGATTAC